TTCGAACTCACAGATCTGTGCTTAATAAAATAATGTTACTCCAGAGTGAGACTGATCTGGTTCTTATTAATGTATTTTGATCCTCTTCTGTAACACACAGGCCTTCTTATAAAACCTGCTTTCACTTTCCATTTCCTTTCTAAATGTCTTAAGGGTCATCTTTCAGGACCATTTTAGCCTCCTCTAAGTGTGATCGGGGTTTTTCCAGTATCACATTTCACTATTGAATCCATATTAATTTTTACTTTTAAAAACTGATAAGTGTGAATTAATCCGGGCTTCCTGCTTTATGTTTTACCTCAGAGAGGCTGACAAACAAAGGCGGTTAAAAAGTCAACATCATGCAAATTAGACTGAAACGAAGCTGCTGTCGAGGACACAACCTGCTTTTTGTTACGCTCGATATTTAAATTAGATTTAAGATAGATTAGAAAAAGGAGGCCTAAATAAGTTAGCCTCTTTTTTATGTAACTGACTGAGCAAACACAAACATTATGAGCAGAGCGTAACTCGCTTAGAGCTTTAAATAGAGAAAACAACCAACCTGTCGTTTGTTGTCCGGGTTCTGGATGTGTCTTCTCTCAGTAACACCTTCCACCCTTCGCCTGGCTGCTGTTGATCGAGGCTCTGCTCCTATTTATCCCTGAGAGCACGTGGATCAGTCACATGAACGCAGCTCATGTGATCCTGCTGACTAACTGTGGTCTAAACTGCTCCTCTTTCCCTTTAAACCTGAACTGAAACTCATTTAGTTCCTTACACCTTCTCTGGTTTAATGCACAGAAACACACATTTAAATCATATGACTTTTTATCTTAAAGAATGAAAAATATATAAAAGTTGAGCGTTTTATGTGAATCTGCAATATTTAATCTAGCCACTAGGAGGTGCTAAAGCTCCCCCACTACAATGTTTACTTAACCCTTTATAGGGAACTCAGTGAAATACTTTGAAAATTCAAATTTCAGGCCAATAGTGTTATTGGAATCCAAGACAAGACCATATTACCTTTGTAACATTAAAAATATAGAGATTTTTTGATGGCAAAAATTAATATCAATGTAATAACAACAAACACCAACTTGCCGGAACATAAACATATTAAGAAAAATATCAAAAGTGCTTCTATAAGAAATTCATGAAAAATACTCTGAGTGTAAAAGAACCACTTTTTTTTGGTACAACATAACCTTAGAGGCATTAATGCTGATGCTGGCACTCATATTTTTTAGTTTATAAACCTAAACATATTTGTAAACTGATTATTTTTTGATCATAATTAACAAAGTTTTTTGTTTATGTGCAGAATCTAGCTAAGTTTATTTTACTTTATTGTTTGATATCTGTGATGAGATTATGTTTTTTGGTTATTCAGTCACGTTCCTTTGTTTTTGGTTAGTTTTGATTAATTTAGGTGAATTTTTTTTTTTATAAATAGGCAGTCAATGGTAGGGCAAGCATGCATCTGGGTGGGTGTATGTTTTTTTTTTTTTTTTTACCAGCGCAAGAGAAACATGGAGGAAATGTTTGTCTTTTCTGTTTGCATAATAGATAATAAACTTAGAAAACAAAAGGAGTTTACCTGGAACATTTTTTCTTTTGCATGCGTAAAATTAGTCCATGGTGCATCTGTGGCCTTTGTGGATTTCCACTTTTTTGTGTCATCAAAGCTGGACCACAACACTAGACTTATTAACTTTTTTACTTTGCTTTTTAACTTTTCAATCATAGTTTCTTTCTTTCTTTCTTTCTTTCTTTCTTTCTTTCTTTCTTTCTTTCTTTCTTTCTTTCTTTCTTTCTTTCTTTCTTTCTTTCTTTCTTTCTTTCTTTCTTTCTTTCTTTCTTTAATAAGGATTCAAATGTGACATAACGAGGCATATTTTGTGAAGGTCAACATTGACATTGTACAAACTATGGATTTGTAGTAGTAGAAATTAATAGAATAGAGGTTTTGTAATTGTAGATTTGTACAATCATAGAACTGTTACAATCACAAAACGTCACACCTTATCAAAGTTTTGACTACAAATACACAAACTTTGTTCACGATTGGTTCAAAACTGAGAATGTAAGAACAAAGAAAAAATAAATAAAAATAACTAAAGAGAACTTCCCTATTTAACCCTAAATTATTGCTATATTACAATGCTTTGTGAGCCTTTAAATTGCTAAAATGGTTTAAACCTTCTTTAAATAAAATAATTTCATGAAAGCTACCTGTTTTTAAGTCTGGATGAAAGCCAGAAGTGTCAAAAACACTAATGTTTATTACTTAAGTTGAAGTAGAAATTCTACCGTTTAAAAACAATTAAACGATTATCAACTTAAGCCTTTTACTCAAGTAAGCACCATTTTAAAAACAGTATAAAAGTAAAAATAATGCAGTATAAAATGTTAAGAACAGATGCTTTACTGCACTAGCTTATTAAAGGAACACTTTCTACAATTCTAGATGATAACTTCCTTAGACTTTATTTTCTTAGATTTATAAGTAATGTAAAATTTAACTTTATATCATCTTGAAAAACTATTTATTTTGGTATGTGGGGAACAACAAGTTGGTGCACCAACCACAAGGAAATTAATTGTCTGGATAAAACAATGTACTTTGATGGTTATTTATTTTTTTAATCTCCAACAGTTCATAACAAAAATTAGAAGACGTTTCGCTTCCCGTCCAGGAAGCCTTCTCAATTCAAATGATCTCAATTCACATTTGAATTGAGAAAGCTTCCTGGACAGGAAGAGAAACGTCTTCAAACCTTGGAAACCATATCCAGCGGATTGTTTTTAAACTTTTACAGAATGACTATGACCTGGATGACTGAGAATCTTCATCAGCAGCCTAAATGAAACAAAACCAACGAGTCTATTTTTAAAACGAAAAGGAGTAGAAGTAAAAAGTTGTCTGAAAAATAATTACTTGCATTAAAGTATAAATAGCCAAAATTTCTAACTAAGTATTTGTTCTTTTGATACGTGACACCGCTGATGAAAGCATTACTCCTTCATAAACGTACAGTGCTTCGTGTTTTCACATCTCATAACCTCCTTTACACTATTTCACATCCACAGGATGCGAAGGAAAGGTTTCTCCAAAAAAAACCATCTGCATATTTAAATTAGAAGCTTCTGAAAACTAAATGTGTAAAACTAGCGATGTATCTAAGTTAGGGAGCAATGTGTTATTTGTGCAAAGCAGCAAACTGCACTTGGTTAATTTTTTGTTTTTTTAGTTGCCTGCTTATTTTTTGAGAAGAAAATATGTTTTAGATTCATAGGCCAGATTATTCCTCTGTTCCAACCTTTTTCATGTTCTAGTGATCATGACTCTGGACCTCAGGGATCACACAGATTTTGCACTTTCTCTTCCTCTTCATTACTCTGTCACCTGACAGATTGCTGAAACTGAAACTATATATACTAATAACAAGTGTCAGAAGTGCAGATTCTTCAGAATGACTATAAATGGAAGACAGGCAGAAACAGATCTCTTTTGACAAAATATTGATATATAATATATACAAAATCTTACATCTAATGAGTACCTATATGTTGCATCATTATAATGCCGACCCAGTGGTGTAATATTAGCCTGCTTTTTCCAATTCAAAGCCACCTTTGATATTTTTAACATCACTGCCCCATTAGAAGAACTAACTTTTATCACATTTTGAAAGTTTAGCTGTTGATTGAAACTGGTTGTTGATGCTTCAGTGTCTCTGACTGGAACACAGACCCATAGAATGATACTCCTTTCTCCGTGCTCTTAGGTTTTAAAGCCTCATCCTGGATCCTCCAAACATGGATTTTGTCATAGTGTCTCAGTCTTTGTGAGTTCTGGCACTAGGAGGGATCTGTACCTGATCAGGGTGGAAACAAAAATCTGTTTGACAGTCACAGAACAAAAAGTAATGCAAAAACTGCTCCTCATTAACATGTTTCTGCGTACAGATGGTCAGCTGGCTGAAATATGGGTACTACACCCCGTCTTTCTTTTGGTCAAAGTGTTTCTAGACTTTCTGGTGTGTCCAACTAATAAACACCTTTTTTTTGCATTCTAACTCTATAAAGAACAGAACGGTTGTAATAAACAGAAACCTAGATGGGATGTGCTAGAGTTTAGAGACTTCATAAATATATTTAGCAAAAGAAATAACTCAAGTGTTTAAAAATGAAAAAACAAAAAACAATTTGGTAAAAAGGCTACAAAAATATTGAGTTATCTGTTCATGTCCTCTGATAAAAAAATTAATCAAACAAAACTGTTTTTAACTGTTTTAGCAATTTTTTTATTTTATTTTACTGTTTTATGTTTTGTTTTTTCAGCTGTTGTTATTTTTAAGTGCTTAACAAATAAAATTGGATTGGATAATTCTGGGATTGTAAAGACTAAAAAAGAAAAAGTTTTTAAGGAATTATGTTAAAATGATTTGTCATTTGGTAAATGACTTAATATGGATTATTTTATTAAATAATTTATTAAAAATATACTGATTACATTTTGAGAGCCTTGGGCCGCACCACCAGACATATGCTCTGTATGCCAAACGACCAGAACCGTTTAATTCTATCTTAATGAAAATAAAAAAACATTTTTCTTATATAATATTATAACCCGCATCTTTTGAGAAAAAAGGCTGACTTGACTGCTGTCCAGAAGACAATTCTTTATACCCATCACATTCTAGAAGGTGTCTATTCAGAGTTCACCCTCTGGTAATAATAGAGTTTAGTGGAAGGAAAAACTGTGCCAGGAAAAAGCACACAACAGTAATGTTAGAGAGAGATCTACTGTTTGAAATATTTCATCATGTGATGTCAAATAAAGTTTGAAAAGATTTTCTTATTTCCCTTTTCTGTAGATTCCAGAATGCAGAAGTGGGGTTCAAACAGATGCATCCTTTTTGTGTCTGCTGTAGAGTTTGTCTCAATGGACTCCTCCTTATTTCGTCTCTGTAATCCTTTCACCAGAAAAACAATGAACAAACACCTGTATGTAATGTATTTGTCGTTTGTTTTATTTCAAAAACAAATGCCATTTATCATAAATTAAAAACCTATATTTTATAATGACGAAACAGAAATACATATAAATTAAACGACATGACAGAAAACACAAAAAACAACAACAACAACCAGATGTGAGCCACCACCAGATGCCACGGACTAAAGAGGCAAAGGTTGCTGTAGTGTGCACGAGTACTGGTGCTTGTTATGGCTTGAATAAAGCGATGATGATTAAAGCAACGTGATATGTTTGACAAAAAGCTCTTAAAAACATGAACATAAATAGAGCACACAGCAGAAAGGATCCAAACTCTTTATGCAATTGGTTAATATCCGCCAGCAGCTGGCAACAGTCAGTTAGCTTTTCATGTAAACGAGCAACACTTATCAGTGGGAGATCAGTCAGTTATCATGAGCTGTTGGGATCATGTGTTACGCAACAGTTAAAACTAGATAAAATGGAGACCCATCCTTCAAACACAGAGCAAATTAACCAGTGTTTTACAGCTTAGTTATACAGTAGACCATAAAAATGATGCTGGATATGATTCTACTTTAATACAGAGGAGATATCTACTAATGATAAAATGCTCCGTTTGGGAAAGCATGCGTTTGTCTCTATATACAAGAAATCTGTACAGCGAAAGAGGAAAAACAGCCTATTTAATAAAGGAAGTGTTAAAGGAGGAGGTTATCCATGGAGGTGTTAATGTAATGGAGTATTTAAACCGTAAAACTTCAGGGTGAGTGCAGTAGCACAGGAGTTGTAGAGTTTTTCTGTCCATTGCAAGGACTTGGTATTAAATTATCCTGTTATACTTTAATGCATTTACATCCAAGCCATCCTATTTCACTAACAAACTACTTATTCAAATGTTGTTTACTTAAAACAGACGGCTGGGAGTAAAGGTGGTCAGACTGGATCCAGGGGAACATGGTATCATTGTGAGGACAAAGACAGGAGTCACATGCGAGTGTTTAACACCCTGGTCTGGGATGATTGGGGGGGTTTGGTCCAGTGAAGCAGCAGACTGCTGGATAGGAGGCCAATCTGAGGTTACCTTCTCAGGAGGGGAGAGGAGGGGAACCGGAAGGACTTCTCAGCTTTCTGCACATGCAGAAATAAAAAATGAAGACTCTGAAGGGTCCGTGCAAAGGTCATGGGAGGGGTCACAGTACAGCGACCTCAACCCAACGCTGTTAGGACCTCCATGGCTGTTTTTTTTTTTTTTTGCTCTTCATAAACCTGCAAACAGAAACATTAGGTAAATAAGTGACCATTTTATTTGAAGCAGGGAAGGTTTATTAACCACTCGCTGTTGATGAAAAGGTGAGACATAAACATACACATAATTATCAAAACGAGTCCAATAAATACATGTTGAAATAACTAAAATACAAATGGATGTTTAGCTTAAGGAATACTTTGTTCTATTAATATCGATTTAACTGGAAACCACCAATAATCTTTATACCTTTATTTGGTAAAATGCAGAGTCCACTAGCAGCCACACTCCTGAGTGCCCTGCGGCTGAGCACGGCGAGGAGAACGAAGCTGCCGCAACGCAGCATCGCCATACTGTATGCCTGAGCCCATCCTCTCTGGATCTAGTTCCCCTAAAACAACAGAGGCAATCAGAGAACTAATCAGGTCGTCTTCATATCACCAAACCAGAGATCGTGAACCAAAGGAGGGCAAATTAGCTCTTTTGCTGCAACAAACAGCAGCTCTGTTTCAGCCGGGGGCTTTTGGTATTCTAATACTTTCCAGCTCTATACTTCTAGTTCTACACATCGATGCTATAAAATCAAACTAAACTCCTACCTGACTCGATCTTGTTTAGGATTTTACGAGCACACTGGATGAACGCCTCTTCAACGTTCTCCCCCGTAAGAGCGCTGGTCTCCAGGAACATCAGCTCTAAGACACAATCATTCATCTTTAGAGTTGACATAGAGTTCACACTAGTTTAATTCTTTATTTAGGCCAGGTGGTACCGTTTTCCTGAGCGAACCGCGACGCCTCCAGGAAAGTGACCTCTCTGTCAGCGTCCAGGTCCTTCTTGTTTCCGCAGAGAATGATGACGATGTTTTGACTGGCCAGCATCCTGGCATCACTCAGCCACGTGGTCAAAGCGTTGTAGGTTTCTCGGCTACAGGGGGAGGACAACGAGCAAAGAAGTAAAGAAAGAAGGAGATGCTATAGAAATTAATTTATAATAGGGCTGCATTTGCTCTGATACCTGGTGATATCGTAGACGAGTAGAGCTCCTGCTGCTCCTCTGTAGTAACTCCTGGTCACAGACCTGAAGAACAGAAAGGAAAGAAGACAGAAACTTGCTCAACCAGGTCAGGTCATCCTCCTGTAGCAACAAATGCTTTTGGTTACATGTACACACGAAGATAAAGGCTGTTTAAGCTTCAGAGTTTACCTCCACATCTTGCTTAACATCTCCTTACAGAGCAGTTTTTTTTTTTTTTTTTTACTTCTGGACATCGAAAAACCAATGCAAGGAGAGACGGCATCATTTAAGAGTGGTTTGTAGAGGACTAAACGGACCCATCATTTTAAAACAGGTGTGTTGTAATAATAAGCAAAGGTGTATAAGGCCCAGAGGGTCAATACTTGTTTGGCTTTATCGAATGACGGCTGTTAGCTGAAGCTCCACGTCAGTAATGGGAAGCTCTCATACCTGAAGCGTTCTTGACCTGCAGTGTCCCAGATTTGCAGTTTAACCGTTTTGTTGACCACACTGATGATCTTTGAGCCAAATTCTACACCGATTGTGTGATTAGATTCATCCTTAACTGCAAAAAAACAAAAAACAAAACAACAAATGATCTCAGATGATCAATCAAAGAAGGTAAAATAAAACAACAAGAATGTTGAAAAAGAAGTGAATTAAAAGATTAGGCGTTTGCTTCTAGACTTTCTGACTTACATCTTTTCTCTATGAACTGGTGCAGCAGGCAGGACTTGCCTGTTCCAGCATTTCCAATCACCAGGAATTTAAACAGGAAATCTGTGGAAGGATAATTTGAAAACAAAACATTAGGAAGATGATCTTGTAATCTGATTTATGCATTTATTGACAATTTCAATAGTCTAGTGGAGCATACAGACTCTAGAACACACAATTCGTTGAAAGAACAACCCACTCAGAGCATTACAGACCACAAACTCTACAAAAAATACAAACATTTTGCTTTAAAGATATAAAAAATACCCTTGTCTGTAAATATGCTCTATCCAGAACTCCTCTAGCTTTAAATGCTGTCAACTCCTTTTACAATTTTACAATTAATCGATTAGCAACGTAATAATCAGTTGCACTTCTACAATTTAACATTAATGAGGAGAAGAAAAGTCTCTCTTGGATATTTAGTACTATGCAGATATTTTAGAGAGGAGTGAAAAAATGATTTCAAGTGAAAAATGCTTTTATTAAGAAATCTGAAAGAAGGTGAGCAAACCACAATTTCACTAAATTTAGTATATAATCTGTTGCAAAACAATTTATCCTATGTGCAACTTCAAAAATTTTTTTTTCTTTTTTTTACTAAATCTGACTGCTAAAAGATGACATTCAAGTTTTTTTTTTTAAACCAGTTTTTAAATTAATTTTGAAATAAACATCCAGCATTAAACCTTATTTTAACCATTCATGAATAAGATGATGAACCAAAGCAGCTGATGGTAACCTTTTATATGAGGAATTAAACAATAAAAACTTAGAATATTAGAAAACATCTATTATAGGAGAGACTAATGCCTTGGAGGGAGATGCTTTATACTGTCAAGACAATAAGATGAGCCTCCTGTTCTAACAGTTTATTTGCAGGACCTGGAACAGATGCTTTCTGGACATTTGTTGGAGCTTTCATCTGATTCTCAGATTTGTGTGGGATTGTATGCAGATCTGAGGAATCACACATCCACATTAGACTTCTAGGTTTCTCTCTAAGAAGCCATCAACATCAAAAACTGTATGAAACTGGTCCTATTAGGGTTAGTTTTCAAAATAAGCTGCATATATTTTTACTTCCTAAAGCCTTTTTTCTGGCAGCATTTTTATCACTGCTGCCTAAAACCTTTGCATAGATGTGTAGAGAATAGGTTTTACACCAAATCCCATAGGATGCAGCTATTCGTTTACCAACAAATTACTTATTTCGCTGCAGTGGGGAATATAATAAATGCAAAGAAGAGCAATAAAGCAACATTAAATCATTTTTTATAAGAAGAGTCGGATGTCTGCCTCCTCTTTTATGCCACTATGTTAACATCTGTCCAGTAGGAGCTCCTTGTTCATTATTATACATATAAACTCCAATAACTTCGTTTTATTCCGCAATAGAAATCTCGACTGCATGGTCTCTGTGGACTGCCAACCTGCTTTAGAGACTAGACTTTAATTTCTTGGTACGAGGCTTGGTTAGCCTGGCAGCTATCAGCTCTCGATAAGAAAATCCCCTTCTGCGCACCTGCCTGCTTCTCTTCTCTGCAGCTAAATGGACATGCTAACAGCGACCCACTTCAAAACAGCCTGCTTACCGTAAGACTCCGACATCGCCAGGGTGGCGTTTAAAACAGTAAAACGATGGCAGCGAAAAGCACAGGCAGGCAAATAAACAGCTAGCTAAGGAAAGGAATAGTCCTGTCAAGGACTTCCGTGGATTCCAGCTGATTTTTCCTTCCGATTTCTCCTGCGCTCCGTTTCAAAATAAAGGCTTTCCCTGATTAAACCCGATCTTCCGTGTAATGTCTCAAAATGACCACCAGGTGGAGCCCTCTTCTTTTTCTTCTTCTTCAGGCTGGAGATTTTATTCTGAATTATAGATTTACCCTCACTTCTGCTTAAAGGAATACTTAAGATAATAATCTCTGATTTTAAGGCCCGTTTAGCTTATATATCTACTTTTACATTTCCTTCAATCCCTACATGAGCAGGAAGATAGATAAATCGAACAAAACATTTCTTATTATGAAGCTGAACTAATAGGTGATATAGCCTATATATAATAATAATAAATCTAATCTACAAGACTTGCCAGATTTTATACTTAATAATGCAGCTTGACTATCTGATGCAATAATATAACTACACTACTCCAAAAAATTAAAGGAACTCTTTGTAATCAGAGTATAACATCGAGTTAGTTAAACTTTATCTGTAATCCTGAACTCATCAATATCATTCTATGTTTTCTAATGATGTTCCTTTTAGATCCCATTCTCTCAATATTTTCCCTATTTAATCAAAACCTTATCCTCACTTTCTTGCTATTTATTATCATAAAATTATTATTGTTCCTTTTTTCATTATATAAATTATAAAAAGAAGATAAATAAAGACATATGACATACTCTCAATCTAGTAATTTTTGTACATGCCTTTCTCTTTTTCCCCCCATAATTCTTTATTACAGATTCTTGTGTTCATTTTTTTCAAATCAAGCTTTTTTACCTCTTTATTGTCTTGTTTCTGTTTATTTTCCTTATTATGTCTAATAAACTAAATGTCTGCTTATTCTTCTTAATATTATTATTGTTGTTATTGGATGTTGGCAAAGAACTTTCTATGCATTAAACCACCAACTGAAGTGGATTGTAGATTGGGATACCAGTATTACTGAAACAGTGAAAAAAACAACTCTATATTCTCTTTATCAATGAGTAATTTTAAAAATGACGTCAATGATAAAGAATAGTAATCTGATTTAGAGTTTTTGTCTAAAAGCTATTTTATATTTAGTTGTCTGCTTGTAATCTACACACCGATCGATTTTTTTCTTATTAACATAATTAGTGCAAAACAAAACATGTTACACTTCATCTCGAAAAGAAAAATCACATTTCCCTAATTGTGTTCCCCTAATAAAATAGTAAAATACAAAAATTGCCGTTTAATTCTGTATGACCAAAAAGATCCACTGAATTCATTACAGGTTAACGCTGTCTTAGCTGTAGAAACATCCCAAGGATGATCTGTGTAAACAGTATGTACCTCGGCTCAATTTAAGTTTTACTGTAAAGCTGTGATACTTAAAATTTGCCTAAATTTGATTTCTTATTTTTCTATTTCAATTTTGTTAAACCAAACTCAAACCAGAGGAGTCAGAAGCATTTGACATCTAACAATACAGCACATCCTCAGGAAACACTAAGAGTTAAAGCTTTATCACAATCAGGCTCACATTGACACAGATCTGTGCACCAGTTAAGGGGGTATTAATACAATGGAGAAAAAAGAAGCAAAAAAACAATTGCATAAGCTTCTTATACAGCTTCAGAGAGCAAACACACTTCTCCAAATCACCTTCCCACCTGTAGCTCCACACCGTTCTTATGGTAGTCAGGGGTCCACACACTGGCTTTTTAACACTCTTTTTATAGCTTTGTTGTAGCTTTAGAAATCAAACTTGAAGAGAATATACACGAATAGATGAGAGGGACTGAATCCAAATTACCTGAGATAAAGTGTGTGCATCTTTTTTATGCTCTGTGGTGTTGGTCCACTAGGTTTAAACACTTCCAAAGTCCACATAGGCATTTTATGAGAAATTTTACAGCATTTCAAGCTTTCTTTCGGAAACCTTTATGCAGATGCTGATTAACACAGGACCTGGGACCTACCCACACTGCTGGAAGTAATTGATAAATTCTTGATCTAATAATTACAATGACATTACCGTGTTTGATGGAAAGACACCAGATTCAGTAATAAAATAGACTAAAAGTCACTACTTTAGCAATGCAGATACAGTAACAATACCCTGGGGCAGTAATTAACACAAAATAAGTGGTAGTAAAACTGCACTGCACTATTAAATGATCTGAAATTATATTAAATTAAAGTGGTGATAATAATGGAAGCATAACTATTAAAAATATGAAATCCGTCTCGTATTCAGTAAATGAAATAATCTTTTGAATTGCTTTCGTTTTATTTAATTATAATTTTAAAAATAAATTTTATTTTGCTTTCATGTATTTAGAAATTACATTTAAAAGAATATGCGCGGTTATAAAGACTCCCGCCACCAGGGGTCACTGATGTTATTACAATCTTCAAACATTTAGCGAAGAACAAGAAGAGACACAGCTAGTAGGGGAACGTTGGTCGTTTGGTGCATGGCGCGTGTTTTGAAGCTGCTCTGCTTGTGGAGAAATGTCCTGGGCCGTGAGTAGTGAGGAAACAGGAAGCGATTCTTGTGGGATGGAAGAGGGAAATAGTGACAATGAAGGTTGGAAGATAGCAGCATCAAAAAATGAGAAAAAGCGGAAAAAACAGAGATCAGTTAAAGGGGAATCTAGTTCAGAACAATCCAGTGATGATCAATCCATACATTCCACAGCACAACAAAATGAATTCAAAGTCATATTCAAAGTCGTTAATCAGGCAGACTCTTTTACAAACTGGAATCCGGTTCACTTAACAAAAACCATCAATAAACTTGTTGGAGAAGTCAGAGGTGCCAGAATTCTGTACAGTGGAGACCTGCTAATTAACTGCAGAGACAGCGCCCAGCAAGGCAAAGCAATACGTATTAACAAAATTGACGGGATAAGAGTTCAGTGCAGCCTAATGGAGAACAAAAAGATCAGCAGGGGAGTCATTGGAGGAGTTCCTCTGAAAATTTCTGAAAAAGAGATTCTGGAAAACATAAGCGGTGCAAAAGTAAAAGAAGTAAAACGGTTAAAAACAACAAGAAACGGAGAAAGATCTGACAGTTTATCTGTACTAATTAAATTCGAGGAAGAGCAATTACCAAGCAAAGTATTCATCGGTTACATCAGTTACAATGTCAAAATCTACAATCCACCACCATTGAGATGTTTCAAATGTCAAAAATTCGGACACATTGCAGCAGTTTGTAAAGGGAAACAGAGGTGTGGAAGGTGTGCAGGAGAACATGAATATGGTAAATGTGGAAAAGAAGCTAAAATAAAATGCTGTAATTGTGGTGGAGAACATACTGCTGCTTATCGCGGCTGTGAAGCAAGCAAAAGGTCTGAAGAAATAAAAAAAATGAAATTTGAGCTTGGAATAACTTATGCTGAAGCTGCAAAAAGGATCCCATCTCAGTCAGAAAAACCCAAACCTACAGTTCAACACACGGCAAATTTCAAACCTCTAGAGAAATCTCCAAAAATTGATGAAGACTCACTAATTGTTAAAAAGACAAATTTTGTTCTTTTCATGGTGGAAGTGATTAATTGTACTGCTCAGACGACAAAAAAAACAGAAAAAATCAAAATAATAGTGAAGGCTGCAGAAAAATATCTGGATGTTAAAGATATGAACTGGGAGATGGTTGGAAGCATGATGGAAAGACCAATGGGACCATCAGAAACTGGCAGAGGTACGATGACCTAGAGTAAATTAAAATTATACGGGCAAATGTAATTTAGTATAATTTAGTATTATGTGGGTTTAAGTTACACAGGTTATTTTATTGTATTTTTTTTTTTTTTTTTTTTTTTTTTTTGGGGGGGGTGAATCGTTTCCTGTTTCCTTGCTTTACTCCATATCAGTTGGTGGCGGTAATGCACATTTCACAAGTTTGCCAACCGCCATAAAATCTCATAAGAAGAAGAAGAAGAAGACACAGCTAGTAAACTAGCTTAGCTGCCGTTATCATTTCTTTCTGAAATGGCAGCTGTACTGCCCATCCGACCCCCCTGTGACAGCAACCCCGCCACTCCTGGAGCTCAATCTATAAAGGTAGCATTTCTGATATCTTTCATTTTACCAATAAAGTGATTTTCTATATTCTACGTGACAACAGGCCAGCTAGGGGCTAGCTTAAATGAACGTTAGGCGCATTAGCATCCCTCCTTTGTTTTCATTTCACATTCCCTGTTCATAAACAGTCCCAATGTAAGTTATTAGACTATTGGGAATAACGGGACTCAAATCTGTATCTCAACACTGTTATTTTTTTTTTTTTACATTATTACCTCCATATATTTATTTATTTATGGTCCTGTAAAAAAAAAATGAATTTTTAATTTGTAACAGATTGACATTTGCAGTTTGTATTGATTTCATTTTAAGTTATTTTTATGAATAGTTTTAATAGGGGGAATGAAATGAATACAATATTTTTTTTCTTTCTCAAATAAATTCGCTCTATGTTTTAATATAATACTTAAAATAGATGATCAATGATAAGTTGATAAAGTTCAATTATTTAATTCAAAAAATGAAAGACTATATTTAAACTGCTCTTTTCAAGCCTTTATTTTTGATAATAATTACAATGACCATCCACTTAAACCAATGAAAATGGGTCATTGAAGATTAGAGAATTACAGCAGAGCAATCAGCAGATTATTTTTCTATATTTTATACCTGAGGAAAAACTTGCTCTTAATTATAATAGGACTTTAAATGATTGGATTGGTGTTAAAGCTCTGTGGGAACAGTTCAAACCATGGCATATATAGCAGCCCACTCCTAACTCTGAATGAGAATGCATTAATAGTCCATTTGTGTCTCACATTAAAGCATTAAAATAAGGGAATTTAGAATCGCCTATCTACAATCGTTAACCATATTTGATGGGAATCCTTTGTTTGATACAGTTTTTTATTTTGTCTGTAGGAAGATGTAATAGATGAGGTTTCCAATGATGGCAGCCAGCCCCCCAAAAGAAGGAGAATGGGTTCAGGAGATAGCTCCAGAAGTTGTGACACCTTCAATCAAGAGCTTGGGTAAACTGTCCAGATACTTGAAAGGAAGTAATAAATAGCCATTGTCTATGTCAGTTTTAGACTTCAGGCTTGGCTTAATGTTTTCATCAGCTTCACCATTGTCTTTAATCTCCTTCACATTCCTGTTCAGGGCGACATATTTTCCTGCAGAAAACCTGACAGAATATAAGTGGCCACCTGATGATACAGGAGAGTATTATATGCTGCAGGAGCAGGTCAGCGAGTATCTGGGAGTGACCTCATTCAAGAGGAAGTATCCTGGTAAGGAGTAGCCCTCAGCAAAAACTACCATCTGTTAAAGATGGGATTGTTTTGTTTTTGTTTGTTTGTTTTTATTATTTTTTTTGGGGCCAAAGGAGGAAATAACAAAACAAAGGTATGTGTATACATATACCTTCTCAAAGACTACCTCATGGAAAATAAAATTGATGGATGTCATTCATCAGGTATGAAAACCCCTGCTCATAAACCAACACAAAATACAATGGCAGGCACCTTTAATCGGACAAAACTAAGTTTGAAAAATATGAGAGAAAGCATTGCGACTTTTGATAAAACTTCTGTGTAGACTCTCGAAGGGTATATTTGATTTTCTCAAGCTTCAGAAAAAACATCATGTCTTTAACCCAGAGGGGTATTGAGGGACATTTATCATACTTCCAGTGTAAAAGTAAAGTACAGATGGGATTGTTTTTATGTGTTTTTTTTCTCTAATTGTTAACATGACGACACGTGAATTGCAATTTCTGTGCACAACACATTAGTAGCATAGCTTAAAACGATGAAACTCCTCCACCACCTGTAGGTGCTTTGCTCTTTGAAACCCAGTACAAACACCGCCTTACTTAAGAAGGTAATACAGCTAAAATAACTTTCAGAATCCTGGGAACTCAAATGTTTAAATGGATGCATGACCAAGTTCAACTGTCGCTACTGTTAAAGGAATAGTACTCCCAAAACATGATTAGTCTTCATTTTCTACTCACCCCCATGCTGAAGAACACTCTGGAGTACTTTTTTGATATCTCAAATGCATCTGGAGATCTGGGAGGCTTCTTGCTGTCTGCTGACATTCAAATAATGGAGGTCTATGGTGCCCGAGACAGAAAGGTCCATAAAAGTCCACAAAAAACGTGTCAATATTCCTCCATACTGCTCGTCCAATGTATTCCAAGTGTCCTGAGTGGGTAGCGTCCATAATTTAATCTAAACGAAGTCATTTAGAATATTTTTAGAGCATAAACAGTAGTGTATAGGATTTCCTAAAAGCGCGTTCACAGTCTACGGAAACCGCGGCAGACCAAACCAGCGCATTCAGCTCGGCAAAGAACTCATGCTCTTCCTCAACATTGAAGTCCTCAGACATTTTTCTTTCGTTGTTTCTTTCTTTGCACAGGTAAACAGCACATTTCTTCTTCTACGCTTGCATTATCGGCAGAGCAGACGCTGAATGCGCACTTTCATCTGGTTTGGTCTGCCGCGTTTTCCGTAGACTCGTGAACGCGCATGTGCGTGCTTTTAGGAAATCCTATACACTACTGTTTATGCTCTAAAAACATTCTAAATGACTTCGTTTCAAGTAAATTATGGACGCTACCCACTCAGGACACTTGGAATACATTGGACGAGCAGTATGGAGGAATATTGACACGTTTTTTGTGGACTTTTATGGACCTTTCTGTCTCGGTCACCATAGACCTCCATTATTTGAATGTCAGCAGACAGCAAGAAGCCTCCCAGATCTCCAGATGCATTTGAGATATCAAAAAAGTACTCCAGAGTGTTGTTCAGCATGGGGGTGAGTAGAAAATGAAGGCTAATCATGTTTTGGGTGTACTATTCCTTTAACTTTGGGTATAAAATCATTATTGTCATTTTCTAGACTATGGATTAGGATTACAGATATAAAAAAAACGAAAGGTCCACTTTAGAAAGAAAACAAAAAAAAGGCTTTTGAATTCTGACTTTTGATCTTAGAATAAAATAGGAATCAGACAAAACTTAGAAATCAAATTTCTTTGGACTCTTATTGTCAAAGCCTGGGATTATCACTTTGATAAAGTACGAAAATTACAAGTGATCATAATTTTATTTAAGTCATTCGAGAATAAATAGAATTCCATAGCATTTTTTGTTTTATTGAGTGGACTTACCAATGGTCCTAATCGTCTTCTGTACGCTCTGCATCAATTATACTGTGCACCAATACATTTCTACTGATTGTGGTGATCCTAGAAGAGGAGAAATGCAACAAAACTGTTAAACATAAAACTTGCATGCTAAGTGGATATCATAATCTTGTTCCCGAGAAATTAGTTTGTTTAAATCAATACTATAAATGATGTAATATTACAGAAAGAGGCGCGCTTGAATTCCAGTTTCACCTGCTAGGTGACATCTTTACATTGAGTAAAGAATTATTACATTTTGTTGCTCAGCTTTGGTTTTCTTTCTCTTTTATTCCTGGGCAGATATGGAGAGGCGAGACTTGTCCCACAAAGAGAAGCTCTATCTCCGCGAGCAAAACGTCATCACAGAGACACAATGCACTCTGGGTAATAATCACAGCTCTAACTAATGATTTCAAAAGTAATTCTAGCATTTGGTAACACAGGAGTTTGTGATGACTTCAGGTCTAACAGCACTGAGAAGTGATGAAGTCATAGATCTGATGATTAAGGAGTATCCTGCCAAACATGCTGAGTATTCTGTCATTCTGCAAGAGAGGGAGCGCCAGAGAATAGCAAAAGAGTACTCGGTGGGTACAAACAACAGAAATGTGCTCTCTGGAGTTAAATTTTTAGAGAATCCCATATGGATTTGATTTCTTTTCTCTGCAGCAAATGCAGCAGCAGAACCCTCAGAAGGTTGAGGCCAGCAAGGTCCCTGAGTACATAAAGGAAGCAGCAAAAAAAGCTGCAGAGTTCAACAGCAACTTCAATAGAGAGCGGATGGAAGAGAGGAGGGCTTACTTTGACCTGCAGACACATGTAAGTCCAGTTGTAAATGTTCACAATGATGACCGAATTAATCCCTGTTTAATAGGATAAAAGTTCAAATAAAAACAAGTTCGTTCACTTAAAACTGCAGAAGTCTCTAAAATTATTGGTGTTGAAGCGTAAAGCAGATCGCAAGTTGAGAGGGGGGGGCTAAAAAATTTGGGACTGTTATTCTAAAAATCTTCTGTGATCCTTTAGTTCAGTTATGAAGTAACACATAAGGTTTTGTCTAAGGATTCTTTCCTGACCATGCGTTTTAATTATCCCAGGTCATCCAGGTGCCGCAGGGCAGATTCAAGGTGCTAGCACCAGAGCTGACCAAAACTGGGCCTTACCCAGTAGCTCTCATACCAGGACAGTTCCAAGATTACTATAAAAGGTAACTGTACCTTTACGGTAAAAACGGACCCTCCAGCTCTCTTCATATTTTCTTCCATTATGTATCATTCTTTTCTTCATGTCAGGTACTCACCCAACGAGCTGCGCTATTTACCGTTAAACACGGCCCTTTTTGAACCTCCGTTGGATCCGGAGCTCCCTGGCCTAGATTCAGAGCCTGATTCAGATGATGCAGAGGATGGCAAGGACAACAAAAAGAACAAGAACTTATCCGTAAGACTGTAGCTTTTGGATAGAAATGTATGATCTTTGCCTGATATGTTTCAGAGAACAAGGAGAAGCAGAAGTCAAAAGTTTATCTCCAGATATGATTACTTTCGTTCTGTTTTCTTAAATACGTTAATATCTTTGATTCTTAGGACAGCTCTTCAGGGAACGCATCAGACATAGAGAGCCAGGAGGGCGGAGGAGGTCATCGCTATAAGTCCAAAGGCAAAAACAGGACATCAACGCCGGGCAAAGACCAGCGCCACTCCCACAAAACCCCTTCAGGGTACAAGGTAGAGGATAAATCCACCTGAAAACTCTTCTCCAACAACAGCAGCAGCACTTTTCTGCCCCCTCCTCCTCTTTCTACTGTTACCACCTCCTTATTCCATCCATTCCTGACACCCATCCCTGCCTATCTTCACGTTGTGCTCCACCATCTACAGTTGGTCAGCCTTTTCCCAAGCTGGAAAATCCCGGTCTACACCGACTTACACACACAGACACACCCCAGGGGGGCTCTGGCCTCGGTTTTTGGTTTTATGATCGTCTCATGGACCCCTCCCACACATCCCCCCAATTTTTTCTACCAAACTGTGAGCAATAAGAACTTTTTAAAGGAACAGTTCCCGTTTCTTTTTCACCGCACTTTCACTTTTTTTCTTCAGTGAAGACAAATTTGAACTTTTCAGATTTTGTTTTTTTTCTTTTGATTGCCCTTAATATATATAAAAATATATATATATACCTCTTCTCTGTCCTCACTTGTCAAAAAATATTTATAAGACAAGTATGTGGATTTTTTGGCTGCTAGTTTTTCTGTTCTTGGAAAAATAACTTTGTTCTGTTACAGATATTAAAAAAAAAAACAAAGAGACCGCATACAGATTGTGGTGGTATTATGTAGATAATATTACATTTTGTCTCTGAAGTGTGCCATACACCCCAATCCTTGATCAAATGAGACCCCGACTTATACCTATAGGCTACCTATTTATTTTCCTTAAAAATTGCATTTTAGTTTAGAATTCACACTTGATAAATATTAATTTTTTTAAGAATGAGCTTAATTCAAACCATAGCTTCAGAAATGCTTTTACTCGTGCAATGCATTTTGGGTTGCTAATGACAAAAAATGTCCATTTAACAGTTACTGATTCAGAGTTGTTTATTTATTTGCTGGTAAAGGTATGATTTTCTGAAGGTGCTACAATAGGTGGTGGATTTCTGTTGAGAAACTGTGAGAATATCTAGATGACACTAGAAGAAAAAAACGGATTCAGGAAAAGGTTAATGTTGCCACATCATCCCTAAAGAAACAGAAAAGAGCTCACTTGTTTTGTTTAAGTGTTAAAGGAAGTGGTTCCAGTTCTTTCAGCTATCCTCTACTGGTTTAGTTGATTAATAGTAATTTGTTTAGGGATGCATAATTATGTTGGCAAAAATATTTAAATATCACCAATATATAAGGCACTGTTTAATATTAGCATATGGGATATCGGCCAAAATTTCAATATCATGCATTCCTAAACATGTCGGTTCCTGATTTCGTCAAGTGGGATTTTAATAATATAACCACTGTACTGCTGTTTCTTTAGATTTATGAAAAATTCATTAAGTTGGGTAAAGTTAAACAGTACAATGATTTTTATGCTTCATTGTCTTTGCGTAGCCATAGTAGAAGTTGCAATTAATTTGTCTCAAAAGTAGATTTTTTTTTTTTTATCTGAGAGTAAGGTTGCATTGGAGTTAAGTGGATTGTCAGTAAAAGTCAGAAAATCATTGGAATATCTTCATTTTTGTGGTTCTAACTTCTAGTTGCTATGAAATAATGTGTTTCTTTTTTATGTTCTCAAACATTGAAGGAAAAAAAATAGAGGTTTTACGTCACTGATTTAACCAGATACCAAACTTAACTTAAATAGTTTTACGACACACACACTAAAATACTTATCTTTACGGCTGGAAATCAACATTGAGATGTGTTCTTGTTGCATTTTTTTGGTGAAAATATGGAGCTTCTGACTTTCAAGTCTAAAACAAATGGAAAACCATTTTGTATTGAAGTCATAATTCTGACTGGGATAATCCCCTTCATGCTCTGGATTAAACATTCTGTATGGCTGCTGCACATTTAAAAAATTTTAAAGCTGCAGAAAAAAAACACCCTATTGTCGCTGCTGTCGGTTTGTATCATTAATCAGTGGCACAAAATGTAATAATCAGCATCAGTGAACATGTTTTTTTCCATTTCTGAAAAATTGATAGGAATACATAGTTCTGGTCGTGTTTTGCTATTCATGGCTGCCTATTTAATAGAAAAAACAGCAAATCCTACTGATTTACACTGAATAAAATGAACCCCTGTTTAGAGCTAAACTTTAAAATGGTAAAAAAACATGAAACTGACAGCCATTCTCAGACACAAAAGGCTAGTTTGTTTAAAATAACATGGAAATGCTTATCTTCAACACATAGCTGCTTATTGTTTTCAAATCTTAGTGCTTTTATTGTTTATTGTCATAAGTTTAGCTGCCCTTGCTGCTCCTAACCCACAATGTCCATCAACAATCTGTAGTTTCTGACTGAATAGCTAAATGCTGGTAGCAATAGTTAATGCAATATACAGAGATTTTGCTCTCTCATTACACACAGTTCAGAATCGGCTCTAGCACTACCTCCAATTTAGCATTCAAACTACTTCTTTGGCAGTTTGTTGTAGCTGATCACTTTAAAAATTGAGTGTTTATCCACTGCAAGCCATAAAACGACTTCATCATTTTGACTTAAACGTAGCTCGTCCATGAATGTTTCTTCAAACGGCCAGCCTCCAGTGTCCACTCCTAAAGGTTAACCTTGAAAAGCGGATGACAGACAGAGGAGCTCATGTTTAAAGGTTGCTGTTGTACAGCCAGCACATGCTAAGCTCCCGTCTTGTTTCTTCAGTTGTCTTCTTTACTTGTGGCCCATCGATTCCCCATAGGGTCCAGTAACCAAGAACCATTTTCTGCTTGGACCACTCATGATGCATTACCAAAAAACAGCAACAATGAATAGGAAATGTTTCTCTTGAGAAAGTGAATTAACATTTTTGCATCTTTGTAGCTACCGGTATTTCCCAAATTAATCTAATAAGCTATTAAAGTCTTACTAGGCAGGGTTCTATTTGATGGTGTTTTAGCGACAAAGCATACTTTGTATACAGACTGTTAATAAATGAATAATTCTCAGACAGCTCATTGTTAAGGGCGTAATACCTGACCCTGCTTAAAGAGTTTGCAGACCTGCTGTCACTGAGCTGCATCTGCTGACTGATTGAGCCAAATATGTGCCCTGATTCCCACCCATGAATGCGTTATATTTGGCATATTAGAAGACAGAACTTGGTGAACTTATTCACTGCACGTTACAGTTTTGTAAGACCACAAGAAAGACACAAAAGAGAGAAAACATAAAAATGTAATGACAGATCAGCACTTATGTTAACATAAGATGTATATTTGATTTATGCTAAGCCCTGTAGGGTAGGAATTATCCTTCAATGGGTTTCAGTGCATCAATGTCTCTTGACCTAAAAATTATATTTCTTCTCAAATGGAAGTTACTAAAACAAGTCATGTCCTCTTGAAGGGATAAGTCTGTTTTCTAAAGGGAGTTATGCACAATTATTATTTCTATATAAAAAAAAATACACATATTTAGAGTTTATAAATCTAGTAGATTTGACAAAGTGAAGTATCTGAGGAAAAGTATAGCTGCAGTATGCCAGAAACATTTTGAATAAAGATTAAAAAAGTTGTTTTCACAAACATTCAGGAATGTAGAAAAGAAAAAAAAACTACTTTTAAATTGATTTTGAAATGTGAACCTAGTAAAAACCTTGTTATACCATGACACTGGATGCTGGCCTGTCCCTGTTATTGGAAGGATATGGTTATAAAAACCCTCCAGCAGCCTTGTGTAGATGTGAAGTTCAATGTGTCTAAATGACACCATAGTATTTCCCTCAGCTGTGAGCCCAGTAGTATACAGATGTTTCTATAACTGGTAGAACTGTTCAGACTGTACCCCCCAATGCGCCCCCCGTTCGTATGCCTCTGCAGCTGCAGTTAGAGCAATATGACTATCTGAAAGCTCAGTTTTTATAGAAGCATATAGTGTTTTGAGAAAGTTGGTTTTACTTCTTATATGTGCATGATATAGACTATTTCATGTCAAATCTATTACATTTAGAATAAAAGACATTTACACTAGCTGGATGCAGTTTCATGAATGGCTCCTTTCCAGTTTTACTGCAAATGTGAGTATTTTCCCAGTTCAGTTTGGGTCAGACAGAAATGACTCTGAGCAGTGTTATTTATTTATTTTCATGTTCATCAAGGATTTGTTCATCATTATTCTCTGGATTATAAAAAACTGCTCCTCTGTTTGAAGAGTTTAGCCATTCATTCTAATCTGTTCATTTTATGACTGATGACACTTAGCATGCTCGAACAATTGCAAACATTTTTAAAACATTGAACATTTCTGCTTCTGTTCTTTTTAAACTGAAAAAAAAAATCATGTTTGGATTTTCTATGGTAGACCAACAAATTTAATGAATACTCTGAATGCAAATTCAGAGAATTAAGCTCCGTTTTATATTTCAATATGCCCTATTGGTTTCGTACAGGGATGCCACCTCACAGATATCCATGACTATGTCTGTGATTTAAAATATTTTTAAGGGAGTGGATCCAGATGTGAAAGGGCTGTGAGCTTAAGCTCTGAAAGGGTCATGTAGCTGAACTACCTGGTAGAATTGTTACAGGAGCCCCCATAGTTTTGGTTGTTACTATAATTAGAAGTGATGCCAAAAATAATGATAAATAGTCTCTGTTGGATTTTCTTGCCCTAAAAGTAGCAATAATTGATCTCTAAATCGTTGAGTTATTCAATGATTTTTTATTGTCTAAGATAACTAAAAGCTGGGATTTATCTAAGTTAGTTAAAAAATATATATTTTGGTTTAAATCAAGCTGTGCTATCTTTGACATCCCTTTAGATGTTTTTCAGCAGCATTCACTAACTCTGCAAACGATTCAATTAAAAATTGAAAACTTCCTGATTTGTCTTTCGTGTGCCTTTATCTTATAGGTACGGTAGCGTTTATTGGCTAGATTGATGTATTCTTGTTATTTTTTCTGGAACATCAACATGCAGCTTAAAAAGTGCACTTTATTTCTAATTTAAACATAGGAAGACACGTTGCTGTTGATTTTAGAAAGTCTGTTGCTTAGCTCTTTCTTCAATCAAAAATACTTTATTATCAATTAATGATGTGTATAGTAGATTTTATTTAAAGTTGGAAGCTTCTGGTCAATTTTAAGATATGCTAAATATCTTGCTTTAATCTCTTAGTTGTCTTTCAGAATTAGGCATCAAAGTTTTTATAAATGCATGTGCAGCATTTCTGACAGATCTCGACAACTTAAAAAAACAAGATAATTTCTCATTTATGAGTGTGAATATACAGCTAACTATTAATTTTTCTCTTAAACGGGTGAACTTTATGTTATTTACCTCGAAATGTATGAACATCTGATGTTATTGGTTAAATATTCTGACTTGTGTGTTCTACAAAACTTCCAACTGAAAAATTTAATCTAGCTTCAACAGAAGGTGACTCTTTAATATTTTTTTCCACTCCACTGCTTTATATCCATGACTGCAAGATTCAAATCGTTGATTGGTTTTTATAGCATTATTCTGCCCTTGCAGCCTAAGGTCATTCCAAATGCTATGTGTGGCATTTGCCAGAAGGGTAAAGAGGCCAACAAGAGAGGCAAGCCAGAGGCTCTCATTCACTGCTCCCAGTGTGATAACAGCGGTGAGTCTTCAGCTGGAACATTTCCTGTTTTTTTTTGTTGGAATTTTGTTTTGATTGTTGGAAATGCATCACTGTTATACGTATTTTTTAAATTTTATTTTATACAAAATGCATTTAAATTTACACTCTATACATTTTAATCAGTAAACCATACATTGTTTGAGGACATTTTCAAAATTATTTACACAATATTAAAAATTCATCTACAGCATATGTAATTAAATATACAAGCCCTGTTCACATTTTTCCTTTTTTTTGTTTCTCTGTGTTTGTTTTTTCTTCCCATTGTCCCGTCTGTGTGCGCGTCTGTCCCTGGGCTCTTTTGGTCCTGCATACATGTCCGTTTGTCCATAAACTACAGGCCATCCATCCTGCTTGGACATGAGCGAGGAGCTGGTGTGTGTAATCCAGACGTACCGCTGGCAGTGCATGGAGTGTAAGACCTGCACCGTGTGCCGCCAGCCGCATCACGAGGATGAGATGATGTTCTGTGACAAGTGTGACAGAGGTTACCACACGTTCTGTGTAGGCATGGATGAAATACCTACAGGTAAGGGGGAAACCATACATGCACGGTGTGGTGGTGATAGGGCGGGATGTTATGGCTAAAATTTGATATGATATGACATAATAAATCATCCATATAGACAAAATGCCCAAGAAAACCCACTGTAAAATATTGTATAAATGTATAACAAAATTATATTAACCAAGTTTTTTTTAATTTCTCATATAGAATATTGTACAAATATTTGCCTTAAAAAACAAAAAAGAGATAAAACAGAAAATGTCACTCAGTGATGGGTGCTGTAATCATAGACTGTAATCTCTATTCAGAAATGAGTTTAAAAGTCATGGCACAGTTATTGGTTGTAATTATATATTGGTGTTGAATAACTTTCCACTCTTAAGTGCTGTTGGTCATGATTTTTCTATATAAGAGTGATTATATAAAAAGTTTCAGCTTGTAATCTGTGGTGTAAAATGAAAGAGCTGTGGAAGGGTTAATATGCAACTGAGTTTGGGATAGGAAAAAAACCCCGCACAAACTCATAAACGTATACCTTGGTTAATCACTTTTAGGTTTTATTTCTCTCAGCTTTTAGGTAGAAATCTATCAGCATGGGACATCGTTGGTAATATTTGTCCACTTTTACCAGGGATGTTCCAAGTCTGTCTCAGTTTATTTGGATGCATGATTATAAATACAGTTTCTAAAATTGACCTGGTTGTGATAAGATTCTTAAGTTCTTTTACATTCACCAAGGCCCAGCTTAAGTTAAAGAAAGCAGGTCCAGTGAAATGAAATAATGAGGATTAGCACTTTGTGACTGAATAGCACAGTGTAATGTTGGCTGTCTTCTTTTTTATGTTGTTTTCTCTTCTATTAATGCTAAATGATTCATCCCGTCTCACCAGGTCTTTGGGTCTGTGAAGTTTGTGACAAAGACTTCACAACGCCCAAAAAGAAAGGAGTAAAAACCCAGAGGAGGCCCAAGTCGGCTCAAAAATGACCAACATAGCAACTGATTTCAGTTTATTAGAAATGGATTGCTGTTGATTCTGCAAAAAATGTTTTTTTTTTTTTTTTTTTTATAAATCTTTGTTTGAACATTGCATTTTTTTAAATGCTGTTTTCAGTTAAGAAAAGCTAAAACAAGAAAAAAAAAATCAGTCAACCGAACACCAGCATTTGAAATACACTGAAAGAAAATATAAATGCAAAACTTTAAACGTTGAACCCAAATATCTTAACTTTTCCGGTGTACACAAAGGGTTCTGTTTAATCTTCCTAAATCTCAGTTAGTTCGCACTTCTCATACAAGCAGAGAATCAATGCATCTTTCAGATGTAGCATATCAGGATACTTATAGGAGCATAGTTGTTGTCAGATGTGACTAAGACTGGACAGTAAAATGCCACAATGTGCAGCTCCCTCACACAGCAAAATATCATAGATGTGGTAGGTTTTAGTGGATTGACTTGCAGGAATGTCAATCAGAGATTTGCCCCTGAATTGAATCTTTACTTTCCCACCAAATGCTATCTCAAAGGTATTTTACAACACTTTATACCTGCTTGTCAACTACAGCGCACATGTAGTACCAGCACCTGCCCTGGAACCTTCATATCTAGCATTTTTACCTCCAGAATCATCTAACACCAGCCAATGGCTGCTGCAACAATATGTTCACAAAACTGCATTTCTGCACAGACTGTCTGGATGAGACTCATTTGCATACTAGCTTTAATTAACAGTGTCCTGGCCCAATCAAGCATGCCCAAAATCGGTCCTTGAGTGCCGCTGTTCTGCAAGTTTTAGAGGTTTCTCTGATTTAGCAGGGCTGATTCTGACAATTGCAGTTCAGGACATTACAACCAATTTCAGAGAGCTTTTGCTAAAATTGATGGCCTCTGGCATTGTGGAAGGGTGTTCTCTTATGAATATAGGATTTTGGGGTCATGTGTGGGTGAAAAGTTTTACTATCTATAAAATATTTACAACATGGATGACAACGCTCAAGCAGTTTTAATAAAAGGCCCATTGTTGGGACTTCACCTGTTGTTGTACAAAGATGATGTATGACTCCATGTTGTAAGGATCTGTACATAATTTCTTAAAGCTAAACAAACATCCGAGTTTGTACATGGCCAGGATAACAGGCCTGTCTCCAATTGAGCGTGTTTGGGGTGCCCTGGATCAGCGTAGTGGGATGCAGTTCCTTCCAATATCCAGAAACTGTTACACAGCTGAGAAGAAGGGGAACAACATACTGTAGACAGCAACCTGATCAATTCTATGCTGAGGCAAATATAGTGGTCACCTGATTTTCAGACCCCAGCACACTCCGCCCCCAACTATAGCAAGGCTGGCTGTTCCTCAGAAGGTTATCGGTTAATTTCCAGCTTATACACGCCAATATACCAATGAGAAGGGACCTAAGGCTCTAAGGGGCGATAGTGATGTGCTTTGAATGGTCAGTATGAGGGGAAAAAAGTACCGTATTTACCTGCACATTTTAGAGTGTCCTTTTATTCTAGCCAGCATAATGCACACTTATGCAATAATTAGGCTGTCCAATCAGCATATTGATAAGCAATACCTTTGAAGTAGATTAATGATCTCTTTGAAGGAGAAAGGAACAGATAGATAGGTTTGTGAACAATATTTCAGAGAACTATAGTGTAGAAAAGTTCTTAGCATCCAGGAATTCGGTTCTACTTATGTGAAATAGGAGCAACAACAAAAGTTTTGACGTTTATACTTTTGTTCAGAGTGTCTAAACTGCTGTTTGTTATAGAGTGATGCTTCAGAGGAACTTGTAACTGTGTATGAATCATTTCATTTATTGTTGCGACTAACAGAATAAATGATCTGCTGCTTCAGGAAACTAACTAACATCTTCTCGTTACGTCTTTGCCGTTATACACTGATCTGATGAATAGTTTCAGGTAAACATATTGTGCTTCTGGTCCTGTGCAGCTGAAATAGTAAAGATTATTTTATGTCTTATTACTTCAAATGTCCATTTTTAATGATGCCTTGTCTCACAAAGAGCTATAGGTCAATATTTTTTAAATACATGGTGCTTTTTTTTTTTTTACTTAACCTGTGACAGATATTTGCCAGTGAAGTAATGAATTTTTTTAAGTGCGTTTTAGAATGGAATTTCTCCAGTGCTCACTGTTTGGAAAATCATGGGATGCAATTGTAACCACTTGTGATTACACTGAATGTAATTACACTAAGATGTGTAAGTCAGTTTACATCGACTTATTTTTTACAATCAACCTAAATTTTGTGTTTTGAATTTTAATGGTTGAATTGTATTTTGTTTGTTTGTTTTATATTGTCTTATGATTGGGTTATTCATTATTTTTTTTATCTGATGTCATAGTTAATCAGTTGAATTTGTTTGAAAAATAAATAAAAGCCATTTTAACGTCTGGTTTGTCCCTTTTCTTGTTTGTTCGATGTTGTACACCTGCTTGTCTTTTTTTGTGTGTTAATTGTAGTGTTTTAAGACAGCACATCCTCTGCATTCTCTTCTACCTGTATAGTTGTAAGTTCAAATATCAAATGTTTTCTTCTTTTATTTATTTTTGCACTATACCATATAAGATTATTGGTAAAGTTCTTCTGAATATTCAGACACCATGTGTGGTAGAAATGTGTTTAAAAGGAACATAGCCTTACAATATGATAACTAAACTTAGCCACCAGAAGCTCGTATTATTAAATTATTGTTTTTGATTAAATAAGAAATCTTGTTTCTGAAATAAATAATAAATTAGCATTTTTTCTTTTTTTTTTTTTACCAAGTCATAACACCTTGAGAGTTTCTTGGAGACCTTAAATAACAAATTTTTTTATAACCGATGTTTTATATTCCTCTTCTATATTTTCATATTCTGTATTTTTATATTATGGATATCAAATAAAAACGATATACATCTATGTATATGTTTAAACTCATCTGCAATGTTTTTTAGTTTTTTTTTTAAGTTTAATCCCCACGTAGGTATTCAACTTTTTTCCGGATTCCATGGAATACAGCGTTAAGAAACTGTTCTGTTTGTAGGCTGTAGAAGACTAGTCACAGGCTATCTGATGTCCAAAAAAAAAGGAAAATCTTTTGTGCTTTAGTTTTTTTTTCTTTTTGTTGCAATTGTGAAAAAAATATGTTGTAGTGTGCTCATTAGGTGACATTATCATAATTAACTGTTTAACTTATATTATGAGTTATGTTGCCCAGGTTTTGGGAACCACTTTCCTGAAGCATGCTCATGGCCAGCAGCAATAAGATTACATAGAATCTTGTTTTTGTTTTCCTTTTAGCATCATTTTTATGTTAGTAGTTGGCAGTTAATCTTTAACGCGATTAATTGCAAAGTAAAAGTGTTGAACCAATTCATGGAAATCATCTGCGCTGCTTTAGCACTGCTACAAAAGGAGCTGCAAAAATGTATTATTTGTATTACGTCAATCAGAAGGAAGTTTTTAATATACAGTTATTCTAGTTGAATAAGAGGAGCAGGATGGGTAATTTTTTTTGTTAAAGTGGCTACATTCACATGCCATCATTACTTTGAATTAGTAGAGCTAGGATCTTGTACTTTGATCAACTACACTGAAAAAAATTTTTTGTACAGCTTATGGATCTATTTGACCATATCTTGTCTAAAGATACTTAAATAGATCCAACAGACATCCAAGTTTCTTTCAGTGCATCGATCCAATCAACAAAAGGCTAAGATATAGTTTCTATCTTAACAGTGAGGTAGATGGATTTTAATGTTAATCTCCAGACCCTAAATTGGAAAAAAGGTAATTTGCTGTGTTCTAAAAACATCCTGCTTAAGCAACTATGATAAACACATTTTTGGGGCTAAATTGAATTTGGCTATGAGACAAAATTCATAATTAGGTAGTGGTTAAAAGGGGCTTTATGACAAGAAAGATCCACAGCTCTCCTGATAGTTTCTGTTGGGGCTTTTTATGCAGCTGTTTTAGACCAGGTTGGTGTAGTTTGGGAAATCACCAAATAAGTTATCAATTTTTGATTTTTAAAATTTTCTTTTCCCTTTATTTATGTAAAACGAGCAAAGGAAAGTGGCATGTTCTGTATGGGGCAGCAGAAAGAGTTTTACATTGTATGCTATGTACAGTTGATGTAGTTCTCTATAAAACTTTATTTACAATTTAGAAAACGTTTGAGTTAAGTTGTACCATACCATAAAACATCTGTAAACCTTATTTAACCACGATAATTCAGTAAAGTGAGTCGAAATCAACACATCTGTCATTTTAAGAATTTAAGCTTTAAGAAACAATTTAAGAATATATTAATTCTAATGCACACGCTACCTCGATCAGCCCGTAGGGGCGCTGTCGTGCAGTCTCAACCAGTGCTGTTAGTAGAGGAAGAGGATTCCATACTGGCTGCAGTGATACAGCGAGTTTAGCCGGGGAAAGACAAGCCGTTGTTCTGTTCTTTACTTCTAAGATGCTTTCAGCTCAAAATTTTGGAGGTCCTGGGAAGATGAAGGAGTACCATTATACCGGCGCAGTAGAGAACCGATTTTCACCTTACGCTTTCAATGGAGGGTCAGTGGAAACTTCCTTTTAATGTCAGATTAGCCTCGAAGCTAGCTAATGCTCACACTGTTTATGCTATCTGGCTACTTTTAGCAAACCAACTATTTATTTAGAAAATCTGTGTTTTTTTAAGTCTCAAATGAACGTCACATTTGTGATGTTACATGACTTATTAATGTGTTTTAATATCAAATGTAAGTCGTTGTGTTATTTGAGAGGGTAGACGCGTCACTTTCAGTTTCGCACCTGCTCTTTCTGTAGCCCATATCTGCGATGTTACTTTGTGTTCATTCATTCAGGTTTTGTGAGATAATAGAGCTAACCTCTGTTTTATCTTTCTAGAACTGTACTAGCTGTTGCTGGAGAAGATATTGCCATCGTAGCGTCAGACACCAGGCTTAGTGAAGGCTACTCCATCCACAGCCGCGACTCTCCCAAATGCTACAAGCTGTAAGTGTTATTTCTCTGTGGGGATGGTAGCAACACTGACTAGCACAGAGTTGATATGTTTTGAGGCTCATTAGACCTTTCAGCCAAGACAAGAAAGAAGTTCAATGAAATCACACAACATGTAGTTTTCCATGTTGCATTTCTATGGGGATGTTTTCTGTTAAAGGTCTATTAACGAGTTATACATGTTATGATAAAGAGCTTTTAGAGCCCATAGCAGTTTGTCTTTTTGTACAGATTGTAACAGCAAATCAGTGCAGTAGGTTACCAAAACTACTTATATAGAAAAATAAATAAAAGGTAAGACAAATGAGAAGTATACTTAACACAACAAACGCAATACAAACGCCTGCCTTTATTTATATAATCATTATGATATAAATTTGCATCATTAAACAGTAAGGTCATTACCCATCCTTACTTGGAAAATATTTTGTGCTGTAAATCAAGGTAAGTATAAGGTTAGAAGTAGGTATGGTTCAGTATGATACTCTCAAACTTTGGTAATATTGGGAAAACGGCTCGTAGTTTCAGGATATTTCCTAAAACAATAAATAAAAATGTGAATCAGTTCTAATTACTTTTTCCTTTTACAGAAAGTGATGTTTTATTGTTAAAAAAGCAACTAAACAGCTACAGTTTTTTTTTTTTTTTAAACCTATACCCTTAATGAGGGCATAGGTTTAAAATGGGTGGTGCTTCTGTAGTTTCCATATCTTTTGAGGATGGTGGTGTTTTCCCCACATTTTTATTGTAGTTGTGCAGCAAAAGGTGGTCAAGGAAAGCTCTGCTATTATGCTCTGTATTGGTAGATAAGTATTTGAATCCTCTGGTATTTCATTAAAATGACTTGGAAATGTATAGGTGGTATAACAGTTTATCTTCAAACAAAGCATGGATACCAATCTTAGTACCCATACTTCAAAGCTCAATTAAACTCTGGTATGGGTTTATGTGGTATTTTTAAGTGCAGTGTTTGGAAAAAGCTGGATAGCAAAAGAAATTGTAAACCAAGTCTGGGCCATTTGGACTCTTCCATTTGCTCTCCTGGTGTTCTAAAATGAAGACCGTGTTTTATTTTTGCTACTTGCTGATTCACGGAAGCACTGACCCTCAGCAAGATGTTTCACTTTTAAAGATTTAAAGAAAATATATATTTTTTGTGGTTGAAGGTTAATAACAGATAAATCAATTATGTGACAGTCAGGCTTATATTGCATTTTTTCTTCTTCCCTAAAGGACAGACACAACTGTCATTGGTTGCAGTGGTTTCCATGGTGACTGCCTGACTTTGACAAAAATCATTGATGCCAGGCTAAAGGTAAACTGCTTTCTGTTTTACTATGTTTTTAAATTACGCTGCTTCATTATAATTTCCTTTAGTAGTAGTTTTCAATAGGTTCTATAAAGAATATTGATACATTTTGTAATTAAAAAGTTATTAATATTACCAATTATTTCATACATTAAAAGGAAAAAAAGGACTAATGATTTATTTGTTTTGTAGTTGTAAAGTCTATTTTTTTTATCTCAGATGTTAGGTTTTTGTTACTTAAACCATTTAAAAGAATGCTCTTCTTCCTATCAGATGTACAAACATTCAAACAACAAAACCATGACCAGTGGAGCCATCGCAGCCATGTTGTCCACCATCTTGTACAGCAGGAGGTTCTTCCCATACTATGTCTACAACATCATAGGAGGACTGGATGAAGAAGGTGGCTTATGTTGGAGAATAAAAGCTTTATAGCCTTAAATGCATATTACAACATACAGCTGACTTGATTGTCTGAAGAAAGTTTTAAAATTCAGCACTATTGAGACACAGTCTTATCTTTTTAGCAAGATTTATTTTTTTTTCTGTCTAAAGATTAAATATGTTAACCTCCACAATCTACAGCCATATTATCTCCAGCTAAGTGGAGACAGTAACCTGCAGTGGCCATTTTATTTAATTTTTTTGCTGTCAGAAGAGTTGCCACTTCATGTTTGGAAGAATATTTGTCACGCAGTTATGGTCTGAAATTATTTAGTTTGTGCATATTATACACTAGCCCTTTACAAGCTAGTGAATCTGTAATATAACATCATTATGAACTAAATGAGTTAGTATTATTTATGCTCCAAAAATGCCCTCAAGTCTTCAAGTGGATTAATACTGGAAAAGGGACCCCAAATTTACTACTGTGCCTTTTGGATGCATTATGTGTCATTGCATAGTTAATAACATATAAATTCTATTTTTAATAAGATAATAAGTAAGGCCTAAACCTTGTCTTATGTTCTTAATTGTAGTGTATTTTTTATTTTCTATGTACTCCATGGAATATGTGCAATAAAGGGAAAGGAGCCGTGTACAGCTTTGACCCTGTGGGCTCCTACCAGAGAGATACCTACAAGGCTGGAGGATCTGCCAGTGCCATGCTGCAGCCATTACTAGACAATCAGGTAAATGGCAAACACGCACAGTTTAAATTATCCTCAATGCAGACAGTCTTGTTTAGTTTATTTTTTTTTCCTAAATGTTGTTTTGCAGATTGGTTTCAAGAACATGGAGGGTGTCCAGCATGTTCCTCTGACTCAGGACAAGGCTGTTCAGCTGGTCAAAGATGTCTTCATCTCAGCTGCTGAAAGAGACGTCTACACTGGAGACGCCCTTCGCATCTGCATCATCAATAAGGAGGGCATCAATGAGCAGACAATACCACTGAGGAAGGACTGAGGAGGAGAAAATTGTTTCCATCTGCCTTCAGCTTCTTCTTCCTCTGTTCAACATTCTGTTGATATGACCTCTTAACACAAGTGTCTAAACCAGAGCACTGATGATCCAGAGGTTGATAAAAGTTGCCATTTAGGTTTGATTTAGAGGAAAAAATTTACATTTTTCCTGCTTTCCATTCTTAATTTCTTTGGTCACAATATCCCACTTTGATTTTCTGTCAGCTTTCTGTCGGATCAGCATTCCTATTTTCAGAAGCCGGCTAACTCCCCACCATGCCTAGACTTCCTCTGGATGTTGTAAAATGTTTTGGAGGGAGACATGCTCAGCTGTTCCTTTTTACATTCTTAATAAATATAAACAATTCAAGAACTCTTCTGTTGTCTGTTGCTTAGATTTCTGTTAAAGATTTCCTTCTGCTTAGTAAACTTGGTGAGACTGGATTTAGTGCCATGACAGACTCGAAATGTTTTATTTGGAAGAAATAACATAAGAATACTAACTTTTCAAATTATTCATACATTCCTATATAGAGTGCATATTCAACTGAAACCAGACTTGCGGAATTTGATAGCAGGTTAGCTCAAGTTTGTTAAAGGTCTATAAAGAATAGAATTTTTTTATTGTGAGAACATAAAGGTAAAATATGTGCAGTTGTTTGTCTAATCGTGGCCCAGATTGTGAAATATTTTTGCAATTTATCACTCTATGCTATTATAAGTTATATTGCCACATTATAAAGGAGAGTGGAGGAGGAAAGCGAGGGTCACTGAACCTTAATTGTCAACTGAAGAGACTATGAAAATTCAACCATGAAGCTTGTTTCCAAGCTGAAACCAGTTGGTATAATCATTCAACATTGTATATTAAAGGACTCTTTCTTTCTTTTTTTCCTCAGCAGCACGGTCTGCTTTTCAGAAAGAGAATAGTAAATTTTGCATGTAACTGTCAGCATTCAGTGAACATTGATAGTCTAGCCTAGTGGTCGGTCTTTCAGTCCTGTATTTTGCTAGGCAGTAGCACAAACCTCATCTGATTAGACCCAGTCAACATCTTTCCCCTTTTCTCAATGATTCCCAGTTGTATTTAGCTGCGGGCTTTGAGTTTTTCTAAAAGGTGAAAATCCTTTGATCTAAGCTACTTCATGGTATCTCTGGTTGTAGATTTAGGGTTATCATGCTTGAAAGTTAAACTCCATCTTTCAATTTACTCTTGGCAGCTCCCTTGTAAATGCTGAGCAAAAGCATCTGCACATAAGTGTGTCTACTACATGTGCAGAGAATTTTTTTTCCACTATAAACTGGCTGTTGCTTGTTGAATTGCTCAGTTTTAGAATCACCTGACCAGATTATCTTTAACGTATAAATGTGTCCTATATGATTTGCTAATGACTGTAAGCAAAACTCCACATGGCTTTTGTATTGCCGTATAAAAGGACAGATTCGTAGAATGAGCAACCAACAGTGTTTGTGTCAGATCCTCCAACTTAAGTCGTTGATCTCTGCAACTCCTCCAGAGTTACCAAGGACCGGCTGAGTGCTTCTCTGATGAATACTCTCTTTACAGGCAAATTGTTTTTTATGGGTAAGTTTGTTTTAGTCAGTTGCCATGTTGTTTCAGTTCTTCCAAATTGCCTTTTCAGGCCAAACTGAGCCCTTTAACATGCTCACAACCAAGCAAATTGTTTAGAACCTAAGTGATTTAAACTTCTCCACAACTTCATTCTCAGAGGTGTTAAGTAACGAAGCACAAATACTTCATTACTGTACTTAAGTACACTTTTTAGGTATCTATACTTTACTCCATTACTTATTTTTCTTTCTACTTCTGACCTTTACTCATTACATTTTCACACAAGTATCTGTACTTTCTAATTCTTACATTTTTAAAACAAACCTTACTCGTTACTCTTGGCTTCAGTTTTATGTTTGTAAATATTTTGTCATGTGCGCCATCAAATGCAGATCATGGGCTCCATCCACATCTAGTGAAAAGTTGTGTAATAGGATGAGTCATATAATGCAAACACTCATTGGTTAGCTAAAGGAAATAATCAGAAACAAGCAGGTGTTCTTCAAACTGCAAACACGAATTGTCTATGCCATGCTACAATGTCGGATTCAGATAAAGATGTTGAAATTTCTGAAAGGTCGGACACAGGCAAGAGCGTATCAGGAGATGGAGAAGGAGAACAACAAGACCTCCCTCATCCTTGGCCCTATCTCAAAGAATTTTGGAAATAGTCTAAAAATTGAGCTTTCAATTCATATAGTGGCATCTTTCTCTTTATACTTTAAGTAGTTTTTGGATTACATACTTTTTCACTTTTACTTGAGTAAAGAGGTCAAGTTGATACTTTTACCAGTGTTTTTAAACTGCAGAATCTATACTTCTACTCAAGTAACAAATGTGTGTACTTTTGACACCACAGTTCATTCTTATACACAAGACTCACCCAGAGCCATAGCTCTGTTGATCTGTCCATCCCTCCTGCTCTTACCAGTAATGATTTCATGGAATTCTTCATAAATAAGATTGATTCTATTAAAAATAAGATAATTAGCACCCCTTTGAATATTACTAGAGGTTCCTAGAATTTCGAAAAAGAGAAGCGAGGCATATCTTTTAGTTATCAGGGTCCTCTCCTGTGGAAGCAACTACCAGTTTTAGTCCGTGAGGCAGACACCCTGTCTACTTTTAAGGCTAGGCTTAAAACTTTCCTTTTTGATAAAGCTTATAGTTAGAGGGGCTCAGGTTTCCTGAGCTATCTCTAGTTATGCTGCTACAGGCTTAGACTTTTGGATGACATAGGGACGCCCATTTCATCATTCTATCTCTTTTCTCCCACTCTGCAGAATCTGTTAGTTCAATTTCTAATGCTATGATCTCTATGCTTTTTCTCATAGTAGCTTCATCTGGTCAGTTCCCGTTTGGCTGTGACTCCATCCTGGAGAGAAGCATCAGCTGTGCTGCTGCCATCAACATCTTTGTTTATAGATGCAGGAGCTTGGCTTGTTTTTCAGAGTAGCTCTGTTTCTCTAACTGGATGTACTCTCTTTCATCCTCTGACATAGGAGTTGTGTCAGAGCTCGTCTGCCTGGCTGTGTGTTTCAAGAAGAGGGCCGCCTGTGAAGCTGGTTGACAGTTGCCTTTTGTATCTTTGCTTATGTCTCCTTGAACCTCAGTTGGCCTCGGCAGATGGCTGCTCACACTGAGCCTGGGTCTGCTGGAGGTCTCCTCTTGTTAAAAGGAACTTTTCCTCTCCACTGTCACTTGAAGCATGCTTGGTGTGAGGAATTGCCTTTGAGTCAGTGAGTTGATTCAATCAGCTGGTTTGCCTTAGATAGAAAACTTTGAAGTAATCTGACTGTGTGGTCTGATTGAATAGTCTCTGTAAGGTGCCTTGAGATGACGTGTTGTAAATTGTTGCTTTATAAATTAACTGACAATAATTAATTCCTAACCCATCTGTGGTGGTTCTGGGTCTTCATGACCACAAATGGACCTTGTATCAAAAGGCAACTTCAATGGGCGGATTTGTTGCTTTCAATCGTTAGTAATCTTGACTAAGAGTTTCATACCAATTTGCAGATTGATTGGCATTTCTGATTGCAATAGAGAAAAATTAATAGTCTGATACTATAATCGCATGGTATAAACAAGGGGGATAGGTGAATAAGAATGTAGCTACACTCAGAAGCATCCCCATGCCCACATGTATTAAGTAATTTTGGAATGTGTTAATCTGTTGCATAAAATCCACTGAATGTGTTTACTATAAAAAGAAAAAAAAAATATGTAAAAACCTTTCAGAATGCAAATACCTTTGCAAGACCATCCACAATCTATATAAGAAATTAAATTAGGCCTTTCAAATCTAGAAACAAACAAACAAAAAAAAAATCTTCCAGCACTGATTTTCTCTTAAATGGCTGTAGCGCTTTTCTTCAAGTCACCAGACTTAACCAAAGTGCTTTAAACTACATTCAGTCATTCACTCATTCAGGAACACACTCACACACCATGGACTGTTCTACCTGCTGCCCTCTGGGAAGAGGCTTTGCAGCATTCAATGCAGGTCCAGTCGATTCCAAAACAGCTTCTTCCCCAATGCCATTAGACAACTCAGCTGTTGAAGAAAACTCTTGATCATGTCCCAGACTCTGCACCACACTGATAACACCAAACCAAAATTCAGCATTTTTGCATTTAATGCTCTGAACTTATGTATCAAGGCGTTTTTTCACCCTTTTTTTTCTCCCACAATGTTTAAATTTAATCACTGCTGTACTTTATGGGATGAAAATATTCTGAAAGCTGTACAAAATGAAACAGTAAAAGTTGTCTAACACTGCTGTGGCTACATTGTAGCTGCCCTGGGGCTCACTGATAGAAGAACTCAAAAGGTAAAAACCTTAGTCAGCTTTTTTTTTTTTTTTTAGGGATTTGGACTGTTCTTTGAGGATCTTAAATGTTAGAGGAGAGAAAATGTCGTTATTTATGCAGAGCTGAATTACTGTTGTCTAATCTGGGAAGATATCAAAATTCTCCTATAATGTAGACTTAGCAGATTTATGTCTTATATGATTTAGAAATGCACCAATCCATTTTTTTTCCCAGATTCAATCCAATACTGATATATGGGCTGAGTGTACAGGCCCACATCCGATAAAGTTCTGCTAGGATCCTGTTCCTGTCAATGACATTACCCTTTTGGCCACAATGACATAAAACGTTGTTGTTGCATTAATGACATAATGCAGAGTCCATATTTAGTCTAGTTCTACCTGATGGGTGACAAAACTGAAAAGATAAGTTTTTGTCTAAATAAATAACTGCAAAACAATAGTATAAAGGCTAGAATTGGGTAGCACGATGGATAGCTTTGCTCAGTAGCTAACAGGTTAGCCTCTTTTAGCTTGGTCAGTTACCCAAATTAAGCTATGGGACTTTTAACTTCTTGTCAACAAGAACCTTCCAATTTCTACAAGTAGAATAACTGTTTTGTGGTTTGTCAAAAATCTAAAATATTTGTTTGAGAAGACTTAAGGAAAAGAGATTCTGCTGCAGCTAAAATGAGACAAACACCAAGTATTGCAGTTTTTGAGTACAATTAAAGAAAACAGAACGCCGCTTATTTTTTCCCTTTTTTTATTAACCCAAGATAATCAGTATTAGTGACAAGTGTTTCATGACTATTTTAACAACCAATAAATGAAAAAGATCTCTCTCACACAAACAAAGACACTGTTAGTGTCCTTAGGCATAGTACTGAAGATTGGCCTTCTTCTTGGCTTGCACCTCCAGAATGCCCTCCATGTAATCCTCATGGTTGAGCTCTGTGGCGCCGCGACGCAGCGCGATCATGCCAGCCTCCACGCACACAGCCTTGCACTGAGCTCCGTTGAAGTCGTCGGTGCAGCGTGCCAGCTCCTCGTAGTTTACATCTGGACTGACGTTCATCTTGCGGGAGTGAATCTGCATGATGCGAGCTCTAGCCTCTTCGTTTGGCATCGGGAACTCGATCTTCCTGTCCAGACGACCCGAACGAAGGAGAGCAGGATCCAAAATATCAACTCTGTTGGTAGCAGCAATCACCTACAACCACAAAAAAAAAAAAAAAAAAAAAGGTTAAAATTTTGGACCATCATCTAGTAAAGAGCAATTATTTTGTCTTTGTTTTAGAGAAACAGTACATCAGTTGCGGTGGAGCAGACTGCTAGATAAATGGATAAATAGTTGAAAGCAAAAAAATCTTAAAAGGTCTAGTAGCATCAGATAAATAAATTGATGTTTTAGTTTCAAGCAGGGAATTAAAATATTTTACTGTGAAATATTCATGCAGAAAAAGCCAGTATGAGGGCTAGTTTGTTATAATACTGGCCATCTGGTGATAGGCACCTCCACATATTGCTTCTCTTTGTTTTAAATTGATAACCCCACTTATAAATACTAAATCATCTGCAAGAATCCAAATACGTTATATGCAGACCTTTACAATTGACAAATTGCATATGGCGTCTTGTTTTATTCTTGGGAGCATGTTTACCTTGACTTGCATGTTGGGTTGGAATCCATCTAGCTGGTTGAGCAGCTCCAGCATGGTCCTCTGCACCTCCCTGTCTCCAGCCTTCTCGCTGTCAAACCTCTTTGTTCCGATGGCGTCCAGCTCATCGATGAAGATGATGGAAGGGGCTTTCTCTTTGGCCAAAGCGAAGGCATCTCTCACCAGCTTGGCTCCATCTCCAATGAACATCTGGACCAGCTGTGGACCTGCAAGCTTCAGAAAGGTGGCCTTGGTCTGAGCGGCGCAGGCTCTGGCCAAGAGAGTCTTCCCAGTGCCTGGGGGGCCGTACATCAGGACTCCCTTTGGTGGCTGGATGCCCAGGTTCTCAAACTTCTCCTTGTGGTTCATTGGCAAGACTATGGCCTCCACCAGCTCTTGGATCTGTTTATCGAGCCCACCTATGTCACTGTACTGCTCAGTGGGACGTTCATCCACCTCCATGGCCTTCACCCTAGAGTCGTACTCGGTGGGCAGGGTCTCCAAGATCAGGTAGGAGTCTTTATTGACTCCAACCAGGTCACCAGGCTTCAGTTTCTCGGCATCCACCAGTCCGATCACCGGCAGGAAGTAGGTTTGTCGAGTAGAGGTTTTAATGACAGCGCACTTTCCTTTTCTCTGGGAGTCCAGATCCACGTTGGCCCCATCCTCCTCCTGGTCGTTGGGGTCCACGTCCAGCAGCTCGATCACGTTGGAGACCAGATAGGGCAGCGTTTTGTTCACCTTTATCTTCTCCGTGTTTTCTTTTATTTTATCCTTCATGGCCTGAAGCTCGTGGGTCACTCGCAGCACTTCGCTCTTCATTATCTTAATCTCACTGTCCAGGAGACGAGTCCGCTGAACTATCTCCTCTGTGGACATTTTTAAAACTTCTTCACCGATGCCGTCTTCCACTTCATCCCAAACTGATTTGTCACTCAGCGACGCCATCTTTGCTCTGTCTGCGCTCAACTGTGACACACCGGAAGTTAAAGCTTCTTTTTCCGGTCAGCGCCGAGTGCATCAAAAGAGGAAAATGGTAAAACAGGAGTAGCAGTTTATATTCCGAAACAAAAAGTTTTTATAAAAAGAAGAACTATAGATCATTTTTAATTTTTTTCAGCAGAGATATTGGCTATTATTTTGGCATTAGTGTAAGTAAGGTAGTTATCTGTTCAGATTCAATGTCTTGCTTAACAGGTATAATGAGTGGAAAATCTGAAACCCGTCAAGATCTTTTAGATGAAGTTAGTTATTTGTTATATGGTATAAAGCGACAAAAAAATAAGTATTCAATTTACATGGGTTTCACCACATAAAGGAATTGTAGGTAATGAAAAAGTAGATAAGTTGGCTAAAGAAGCAAGTAAAGCAAGAGAAATTGAATATGATGTCCAATTAAGTAGAGCAGAAATAAAAGTAATTATTAAATAAAAAAATAAATAATATATGGCAGGAGAGATGGAATTTAGAATAAGTGAAATGCATTTACATAAAATACAGAAGCAGGTAATCATAAGAAACCATAGTATAATGAATAGGAGAAATAGGTATGGATAAACAGGTTGAGGATTGGGCATACTAGTTTAAATAGTGGTTTAAAAATGATAGGGAAACATCCATCAGGTAATTTTTCTTATTGTGGGGAAACAGAAGGAGTAGAACATGTGTTAATTTATTGTAGAAAATATATAAAAGAGAGGAAAGAACTGGAAAGGGTAATGGGGAGTTCAGTAAATATGGTTAATTTATTAGGGACGCATCAATCACATGATATAGTTAAAGCACTTATTAAGTATTTAAAAGACACAAAATTAAATGAGAGGGTTTGTTATTTATGTGTGTGAGTGTATAAGTATCTATTTAATTAAGTTAGTTTTTTTTTTAGATTTGAAGATATATAGGACATTTTTTATTTTATTTTCTTGAATTACATCTCCATCCAGTTGATGGCGGTAATTAATACACATAGTCTGTAAAGTGCCATAAAACGCCATAGAAGAAGAAGAGGAAGAAGCGCCGAGTAGCAGGCCGGGGATGACACGAAGCTAAGGCTAACTGTATTTTGTCTGTAGACTGCGTTCAAACGCAAATAAGAACCAGTGTGCGTCTCAACTTAAGAACAAGGTTATTATAAACTTCATTGGTTAAGATAATTTCCCTTTTCAAACTGCTAGGAAAGGGTTTGTTGTTGCTGCTGCTGCTTCGTGTTCACCGACATTCGCTGTTTGGTCACCGTCGCCAATAGGTTCGATATTTGGCTTTAAAGCTTTAAACTAACCACGCTTGAAAGTTTGCGTTATATGAATGTGTTAAACGTCGACCTGACGCACAGTGGTCTAATTCATTGACAAGTGTGGAAATGCTGTAGATTTTAACGTGTTTTATAATAAGCTTCGACTTTCGCGCCACTGCTACAATGAAGTAAGTTTTTATTATTGTATTGTATTGTAATTGTGAAAAAATATGTCTCCGTTTTCAATTGCAGCTGCGTGCGAGACAGAAGGTCCTGAATTTGGGTCCCTGGTCATTTCCTTGGCAGATACACCATTAATATCCTAATGCTTTGAGACAACTGCTGTTTAAAGTTCCTCACATCAGCCTGACTGCCTACTCACGGGTGGCAGCCCTAAAAAGATGGACCAAAACAACAGCATACCACCCTTCCAAGGGCTGGCTTCTCCTCAGGTAAGGACCTCGCCTGCTCTTGATATTTGCAGATGCAATTAAAAGTAGAATATCACAAAAAAAGATAACCTAATACCAACAGTTCAACATGTCTTATGTGTATCATTTTGACAAGGCAGTCTCATTAATTCAGTTTCTCAGCATTAGATTATAGAAAATAAATAAAATAAATAAATATATATTTTTTTGTAGGGCATATAAAAATGTAAGCTAAAAAATTTGATTGAGTTTTGTTTGGGATATTTAGTGGGGAAAAAGGGGTAGAAAGAGTTGCACAAGCAACAGTTATAACTGAGGGTTTTAGAGAATTGAAAAGCAATTTGTGGATCTGGACTCCAGACTTCCAGTGCTTTGATTGTTCCCTTATGAAAGAGCCACCGCACACAGAAAAATCCAGACCATACGATACAACTATCCCATGCATTGTTGTGTAGTAGTTTGGAAAAGATCTACCAGCTGTAATCTGAAATTAAGGACCAGGTCTTGCGGTAATCCTAATTGGTGTTATGTCCATTATTGTGATTAAAGTAAATTTAGCATTTTGTTTAGAGCTCAAGGTCCCAGGGTTTGAAAAATGGGTAAAATTTTTTAAATCTTATCCTTTTGGGAAGACTCTACACTTTAGAAAATCTGCTAAAAGGAATTATGAAACTCTGTGGGGAAAAAAATCTGATAGAAAGATGCGTACGATGCAGTGCTGGTGTGATTTGTATTCAGAAACCACGTCGTCTGCATGTGTGTCACAGTGAACGCATATATGCCCCCAACCCTCCCGCAAACACTCTGCTGCACATCTCCAAAATTGTAGGTGACCGTGGACAGGAGGCATCCGATTGGTCAAATCTACATCCGCTCTACACTATGCATATTTCCTGTTTGGTACCATACCAGCTTGTTTTGTTTGTATGACCACCATTGTGGAAAACGACAAAATCGTGAAGTTGGACCAGCTAGAAGAGCGAGGTGTTTGAGAACGCTGGGACCCTTTTCCCACCTGGATCCCCGCTCTTTTTCGCCCTCATGTCCCTCCATTGTCACACAAACTTGCCCCCACTTCCTCACCGCCTCGGCCATATCTAGACCCACAGCTAGTTCCTGATTTTCCCTTTTGCGTTGTGGTGTGGAATAACAATGCAGACCACGCTACAAAATTGGGCAAAAATCTCTGCGAAAAGCTCACTGTGACACACAGCTGTGGGAGTATAACCAGCCCTTAACTCATAAAGTGTCTTCACCTAGTAAAACCCAGGCTGATGCAGACTCTGTTATTAGGTTGGTAGCCCCTTCCACCACACAGTAAACCGAGAGGGTTTTCCTTTTTGCCACTATTCTTGCATTTGCTCTACAGTTTTGTCAAAGTAGCCTCACAGTACAGATTCAAACTTAAAGATTACTATGTACAGTTTTATAGATTCACTGCTTCTGGTTCAAAACCTATTGTGACTGAAATTATAATGACTAGAATGAGCTAAAAATCTAAAGTATCTGAAAGTTACTTAAAGACAAATATTAAGCTTTTTGCAACCGTCTTGCATTTAAAGTTTAATCTTTTATGTTTGTAAATGGTCTAATCTGTTATCTTGGAAGTGTGGGAATAAAAACTAACCTAGAAATGATTTCTCTAACATTCACACAGTTTAATTGACTTTAAATACAGCCCTCACCTATATATCCAAATGATCTGTGATGTGTCCCCATTCAGGGTGCCATGACCCCAGGGATAACAATGTTCAGTCCCATTACGTATGGCTCGGGTCTGACACCCCAGCCTGTACAGAACACAAACAGTTTGTCTATACTGGAGGAACAGCAGAGGCAACAGCAGCAGCAACAGCAGCAAGCACAGCAGCCAAATACAGGTAAAGTTCATTATACGTACTGCTGTCCTCTACAGTTAATTAGAGGAGTTGTAAATATATTTCTTTGGTTAGATCTATTCTTTAAAAAGTTTGACAATCTTTGAACCTCAGGCCTTCCAGGAACATCGGGGCAGACCCCTCAGCTTTATCATTCCCAGACAAATGCAGGCTCAACTACCACGGCGCTGCCAGGAAGCACTGGTCTCTACAGCACTCCCATTGGCCCCATGACCCCCCTCACTCCGGCTACACCTGCCTCAGAGTGCTCAGGCATTGTACCAACGCTACAGTACGGTTCATATTCATGTGTTTCAATTGTCAGAGATTTTTTTTAGTTTAATTACTGGCCTGCTTCCTGAGTTACTCCTCTTTTGATTTCTTGCTTTTTGTGTGAACTTTTATGCCATTACAGTTGTTAAATTTACATTGTTATATTCCAAGTTTGTTTATTTCGGCTTCATTATACTTTCTTTGCATTCAGAAACATAGTATCTACTGTTAACCTGGGCTGTAAGCTGGATCTGAAGACTATTGCACTGAGGGCCAGGAATGCAGAGTACAACCCAAAGGTAGACCATTTTTGATCTTTCCTGTTGCATCCAACAGTATGTTTCATTTTCATCATTTGGACCAGGGCTCAATATGTTTAAACATGTACTTTGACTTTTAACCTCTATAATCCTTTCCACCAGAGTTCAAAGTTTAAGACATGGTCTAATATAACCAAAAAAAAAACCTTCTGCCATTCCTGTTAACACTGTTGAATGTTAATTTTCTAGCGTTTTGCTGCTGTCATTATGAGAATAAGGGAGCCCAGGACCACCGCACTTATCTTCAGCTCTGGGAAAATGGTCTGCACTGGAGCAAAAAGGTCAGAACTAGACTTTTTTTTTTTCTAGTTGTAGTTGCTCTGCTTAAATATTGGAACCAACTAAATATTTTTACTTTTTGCCTGGTCCCATTTAAAAGAGAAAAATGAATAAAATCTGAAAAGTTGCGTTTAGATTTCACCCTCCTTAACTCAGATACTCCTAAAGTATGTATCCAGTTGTTTCCAGAAGTTGCAGGATTGTTTTTTTTTTTTTTTTTTTTTTTAAGGTCCAAGTTTTGTGTAATTTCATCCCAGTAAATATGCAGTTATTCTTTGGAGGTCTTCAATGTTTGTCAGAGAACATTAGCAAGCAAAGGGCATCCTGAACACCAAGGGGAATGGTAGACGGGTCATGGATATGTTCAAAACAGGAGTTGGATTATTAAAGAGTGTCACAACATATATTGGGGGGAACTGTTCAGATTAAAACCTCAGAAAGAAAAGAGTGGTGTTACTACAGAATGGCCTGAGAGATGGCCATTATTCAAAGAAGGAGCCAAAACTTCTGTAACTCTGGAGCACCACTTTTAGATTGTTTAATCTGTATGATGGAGAATGGTCAGTCAGATACTATCTTATCTACTGTTTATGTAAGATTGCCCAGAGGAGACCAGTTCCTAACGGTTTTGTGTCCAGCTGAATTGTCATTGATGGCTAAAAGCTAACTTTGCAGATTATGAATGTGTATAAATACACTCCAAACTGGAAAATATTCAAATCTAATATTTACTTAAAATCAGTGTATTTCTTCTTGAATTGAGGAGGTAAGTGAGACACTTTGCCAGTGGAAGAAGACAATTTACACTTAAAATAAAAAAAAAAATAATTGCATTGTTTTATTTGTGGTGAATATTATCTAATCATATTTTATGAGTAAAAATACTAATTCCACCGGCAAAACCATCTTATTTACCTGCTCCAATTAAGGGTAAATACATTTCATTTAAGACATTTTTTACTTATTTGTCTTTACAAGATTTTATCCATGTCCTGCAAAAACGATCTAGAAATAAGTCTTGTTCCTGGCACGGGACATTCATTGAACAATAAGTTGAAGTTTCTGGCTATAACATGCTAAATTGTGTGTATGAGGGATAAGCATATTCTTTCAATTGATTGTATTTAAATTATTATTATTTTTTTTCCAGTGAGGATGAATCAAGGTTAGCAGCTAGAAAATATGCACGTGTGGTGCAGAAGCTGGGTTTTCCTGCCAAGTTCTTAGACTTCAAGATTCAGAACATGGTGGGCAGCTGTGATGTGAAGTTCCCCATTCGCCTGGAGGGATTGGTCCTCACACATCAGCAGTTCAGCAGGTCATTTTCAAATGCATTTTATTTTTATTTAACTATTTGTGGAAAACTTTCAAATGTTTCCCATCTTAAAGTTCTTGTAATTTATTTTTCCAAATTATCTTCAATAATGTACCTTCTGTTCTGTAGCTATGAGCCGGAGCTGTTTCCAGGACTGATTTACAGAATGATCAAACCCCGGATTGTCCTGCTAATCTTTGTTTCTGGGAAGGTAGTACTCACAGGTAAGGAGCGGTTGTATCATCTGATTCTTCTAAGGTACATCCTAGAGAAATATATGCCCTACTGGTGGTAAATATTGACGAAATTACTTTAGATCCTTATCTTTGGTTGTTTTCATTTTTATTGTAAATCACTTTGCTTAATTAAAGGTGAACTTCATGGTTTCTAATGGGATTTCTGTTCCTTTTTAAGGGGCCAAGGTGAGAGCAGAGATCTATGAAGCTTTTGAAAACATATATCCTATCCTGAAAGGTTTTCGCAAGACAACGTAGAATCAGGAGGTCTTTCTCCAACCTGGTCTCTTATGTTGAGTTTTAAGCCGCTTTAAAGTGACTCAGTGTTGAACTTTTCACTTGGACAATGTGGGATATTGTGCGCTGGAATCTCATCTGATTTTACTTGTTTTATTTTATTTTTTTTCGCCGTGAATTTTATAAACAAGATTTTAAGGGTCCTCTTCTAGTGCACTTGTGACAGATCTTGGTTAAAAAAATAATTTCTGTTTGCTGTACCATCACATCCCTAATTTGTAAATACAACTGTAAGGAAATGTAAAATATTGATGGAAAGAGAGGCATTCTGAAGGGGACTGCTTTTGGTTGTATTTTAAAGTTTCAACTACTTTTGTACGCTGCAGTTTTAAGTATTTAAAAAAAAAAATTTTTTTGGCTCACTTCTAGACTTTTACTGCCTTGAGCTCAAAGCAGCCAACCCAGAGTTTAAACCTTCTACTCACAGTCTAGAGCTTTAAGAGAAGTTCCAGTGCTAAGGTTGGTTTCCTACACCTAAAAGGTTTGAAACAGTTAATAGTTAAAGTGTTTCAAATTGTTATTTGGTTCTAGTCCACTTCAGGTAATAATTAAGTTCTATCTACATAGTTTTAATGGTTAAACTTGAACTAAATATGTTTTATATTTTAATCAAGACCGGGAGAGTAAAATGGCTTCTCTGAATGACACTTGTCCAAACTGAGATGTGAAGGAAAAACGGCTTGATTTATAAGGTTATTTCAACATGTTCTTGTCAACCTGCTAAACATTTGCCATCAGATCTGTGGACTGACTAGATTTGCAGAAACAGATGTTTTTTTTCTGTCCAATGCTTCATCTGAAGTCTTTAATGTTCTGCATTGTTCAACAATAAATCTGTACAGAATGACAATCTTCCTTTGGAGTAATGATTTTTCTTGCAAAATTTCATTTCGTAAAAAAACTTTCTTTTGTGAACTTAAGTCTAACTACACTTTTAACAGCATTTTTACAGATGATTGGAAGCAAGTACCCTAGCCAACCAATGGATCCCAGAAAAAGGTTTTTGAGTGACCTAGTCAAACTCTGGACACATACCGAGATTTTGCACATTGAATGTACCTAAAGACCCAAAGTGTACAAGTGATACAGTCATGGCCCAAAGTTTTGAGAATGATTCAAATTTTAATATTTACAAAGTCTACTACTTCAGTTTTTATAACGGTAATTTGCATATACTCCAGAATATTAGTGATCAGCGTAACAGCAATTAATTGCAAAGTCAATATTTGCCTAGAAAATAAACTTTATCCCCCAAAACACATTTCAACGTTATTGCAGCCCTGCGGCCCCTGCCATAAAAGGACCAGCTAACATCATTTCAGTGATTGCTCCATTAACACAGGTGTGGATGGTGATGAGGACAGGGCTGTAGATCAATCTGTCATGATTAAGTAAGAATGACACCACTGGACACTTTAAAAAGAGGCTGGTGCTTGGCATCATTGTTTCTCTTCTGTGAACCATGGTTATATCTAAAGAAACGTGTGCAGTCATCATTGCACTGCACAAAAATGGCCTAACAGGACAGAGAATCGCAGCTAGAAAGATTGAACCTCAGTCAACAATCTATCGCATCATCAAGAACTTTAAGGAAAGAGGTTCCATTGTTGCCAAAAAGGCTCCAGAGCGCCCAAGAAATACCAGCAAGCGCCAGGACTGTCACTTAAGTGTTTCAGGTGCGGGATCGGGCTACCAGCAGTGCAGAGCTTGCTCAGGAATGGCAGCAGGCAGGTGTGATTGCATCTGCATGCACTGTGAGGAGGAGACTCTTGGACCAAGGCCTGGTCTCAAGGAGGGCAGCAAAGAAGCCACTTCTCTCCAGGAAAAACATCAGGGACAGACTGTTATTCTGCAAAAGGTACAGGTGCTGGTCATAAAATTAGAATATCATGAAAAAGTAGATTGATTTCAGTAATTCCATTTAAAAATTGAAACCTGTATATTATATTCATACATTACATACAAACTCATATATTTCAGATGTTTATTTTGTTTAATTTTGATGATTACAAATGACAAATGAAAATCTCAAATTCATCATATCAGAAAATTAGAATATTACTGAAGACCAATAAAAACAAAGGATTTATAGAAATGTTGGCCAACTGAAAAGTATGAACATGAAAAGTATGAGCATGTACAGCACTCAGTATTTAGTTGGGCCTCCTTTGGCCTGTATTACTGCAGCAATGCGGCGTGGCATGGAGTCGATCAGTCTGTGGCACTGCTCAGGTGTTATGATAGCCCAGGTTGCTCTAATAGTGGCTTTTAGCTCTTCTGAATTGTTGGGTCTGGTGTATTGCATCTTCTTCTTCACAATACCCCATAGATTTTCTATGGGGTTAAGGTCAGGAGAGTTTGCTGGCCAATTAAGAACAGGGATACCATGGTCCTTCAACCAGGTACTGGTAGCTTTGGCACTGTGTGCAGGTGCCAAGTCCTGTTGGAAAATGAAATCTGCATCTCCAAAAAGTTGGTCAGCTGCAGGAAGCATGAAGTGCTCTAAAACTTCCTGGTATGTGGCTGCGTTGACCCTGGACCTCAGAAAACACAATGGACCAACACCAGCAGATGACATGGCACCCCAAACCATCACTGACTGTGGAAACTTTACACTGGACTTCAAGCAACGTGGATGAAGTGCCTCTCTTCTTTTCCTCCAGACTCTGGGACCTTGATTTCCAAAGGAAATGCAAAATTTACTTTCATCAGAGAACATCACTTTGGACCACTCACCAGCAGTCCAGTCCTGTTTCTCTTTAGCCCAGGCAAGACGCTTCTGACGCTGTCTGTGGTTCAAGAGTGGCTTGACACAAGGAATGCGACAGCAGAAACCCATGTCTTTCATACGTCTGTGTGTGGTGGTTCTTGAAGCACTCACTCCAGCTGCAGTCCACTCTTTGTGAATCTCCCCCACATTTTTGAATGGGTTTTGTTTCACAATCCTCTCCAGGGTGCGGTTATCTCTCTTGCTTGTACACTTTTTTCGACCACATCTTTTCCTTCCCTTCGCCTCTATTAATGTGCTTGGACACTGAGCTCTGTGAACAGCCAGCCTCTTTAGCGATGACCTTTTGTGTCTTGCCCTCCTTGTGCAAGGTGTCGATGGTCGTCTTTTGGACAACTGTCAAGTCAGCAGTCTTCCCCATGATTGTGTAGCCTATAGAACTAGACTGAAAGACCATTTAAAGGCTTTTGCAGGTGGTTTGAGTTAATTAGCTGATTAGAGTGTGGCACCAGGGGCCATCAATTTTGAACCTTTTCACAATATTCTAATTTTCTGATATGATGAATTTGAGATTTTCATTTGTTGTCGTTTGTAATCATCAAAATTAAACAAAATAAACATCTGAAATATATGAGTTTGTATGTAATGTATGAATATAATATACAAGTTTCACTTTTTAAATGGAATTACTGAAATCAATCTACTTTTTCATGATATTCTAATTTTATGACCAGCACCTGTACAGGGACTGGACTGCTGAGGACTGTGGTAAAGTCATTTTCTCTGATGAATCCCCTTTCCGATTGTGTGGGACATCTGGAGAACAGCTTGTTCGGAGAAGACGAGGTGAGCGCTACCACCAGTCTTTTCTCATACCAACTGTAAAGCATCCTGAAACCATTCATGTGTGGGGTTGTTTCTCAGCCAAGGGAGTCGGCTTTCTCAGTCTTACCTAAAAATATAACCATGACTAAAGAATGGTACCAGAATGTCCTCCGAGAGCAACTTCTCCCAACTGTCCAAGAGCAGTTTGATGATGAACAATGCCTTTTCCAGCATGATGGAGCACCTTGCCATAAAGCAAAGGTGATATCAAACTGTCTCAGGGAACAAAACATGGAGATTTTGGGTCCATGGTCTGGAAACTCCCCTCATCTTAATCCCATTGAAAACTTGTGGTCAATTATCAAGAGACGGGTGGACAAATGAAAACCTAGGAATTCTGAAAAAATGCAAGCACTGATTGTGCAAGAATGGACTGCTATCAGTCAGGATTTGGCCCAGAAGTTGATTGAGCATGCCAGGGAGAATTGCAGAGGTCCTGAAGAAGAGGGGTCAACACTGCAAATATTGACTTGCTGCATTAACTCATTCTGTCATTGTAGGCTTTTGTTACTCATATGATTGCACTTGTATTTCTGTATGTGATGACAACATCTGACATTCACACATGAAAACCAGAGGGCAGCAGATCATGTGAAAATATATTTTTGTCATTCTCAATACTTTTGGCCATGACTGTACGTTTAAACTGTAACTTGAACTAAAGTGGGTGGTTAACTATATTTTACCAAAACGAATTAGCCACATTTTTTTATTTTTATTTCAAATCTCTTGTAAACACTTGAACAATGAGGAAAACCAGCATGTGTGGTCGACAGTACCTGGGTCCTCCACTGTAGGACAGGAACAGGCTTCGATCTAAAAGTACTTAAATATATGCTCTCCAAAACATGTTTTTTTAAAAAGGGTCCCACCTCAGTAACCGTAAAGGCCACTGATGGGATAAAAAAAAAAGTATTTTTGATAGCTTTAATTCTGCTACATGACTTGAAAAACCCATAGATCCAGGTTGGTAACATAAAAGAAACTCATTGCATAGCTGTTGTTGAGGTTGATTTATTCATAGCAGTTTACCGTCTCATGGTATCATGGGATTTCCTCAAGAGGGAAAAAACCTTCAGTCTGCCACTAACAGACATGTTTACAGATAAGAATGTCTTTGATTGTTCCTTTACAATATTTTCCATCAGCGGGTGGTGACTTCTTCAGCTGAATACTGCTTATAACACACACAGAGGTCATACTTTTACCAGTTAATCTGAATGCTTTTTGGGAACTCTAACCAACAATACTGGTCTACGTCTTTTTATTCTGTGTCTGTTGGTCTGAGCTGAAGTCCTGTTTCCAGATGAACTCTGAACAGTACTGGTCTCCATGGTTACAGCTGGCAGAGCATGTGTAAACCGCCACAGTTCCCCAGTCGATGCTTGCTCCGGTCGAATCCACGTAGAGGCTGTTTAATAGCTGGGGCATCACCTGCAGAAACAAAAGCTGGAGATCAATCCAGGCACAATCCACAGGTTGACATGTTATAAATAAACACTGCAGTTACAGCTGCATGTCTATTTGGTGGTATGTCTCTACTAGCTCTGGACATTTAAGTATTTAAACAGTTCAACTTAATTCAGGTCAGATAAAAAGCACAAACTATTAATTTTCAAGTCCTGCCACAGATTCTTATGAGTTACATTTTGACTTTGACTCTGCAACTCTAATACAAACATGTGATCATTTTCTCTGGGTCAGAATCCTGCTGGAAAATTAAGCTCTGCTCCACACTTAGTTTCACAACCTCTTACAGGTTTGGTTCCAAATCTGAGGTATTAACAACAGTATTTATTCTGGGTTTAAATTGCAGACAGGTGGACGCTGGATTTATTTAGGAGTGCTTGAGTAAATGAGGGGCAATTGACTGCACAGAAGTGTGTGGGAAGATCTAAGTGCCAGGAATTACCTGAAACTCAAATGTCCTCTTGGCACCACAGATGCATGGTGGGATCTGGTCCTCTGAAGGGACATGATCAGAAGAAACCCACAGGGGACAGCCTCCTCGGCTGTAACGTATCACCTGCACAAGAAAAACTGCATCAGAGAGACGCATCCAGACAGCCTTTACTCTCCTAATTGATCAGGCACCTGGTGTGGCTCTGAGGCGATCCTCTTCTTAAACTGCTGGAACACTTTGCTGTCTTCAGTCTCATGCAAAGCCATCTCCTCCAGATCTGCCTCTTCAAGCGCTAACAGGCAGCAGATACTGTCACTCCCATGCAGGACCAAATACTACGTGGTGTGCTTTTCTTTTATATTAAAAGCTTACCATCAGATGAGGAAGGATCAACAGCACTTTTCTGCACATTGCCTTGTTCTTCTTCTCCTTCTGCATCTTCACCTTCTTTCCCCTGCTGCACTCCCTCTTCAGGCTCAGTTACAAGCTCAGACTCCGGGAACAGAAAGGGAGAGGAAGCAACAGTTGGTCCCTCTACATTCGTAAAGAAACACAGCAGAGAGTCAGTCTACCAGAGTCCAGGCTGGGGCTTAATGCAGGGCTGCTGGGTGGAACTATACCTGCACTGAGGCACTCCTTTTTATGGGAGTGTTTCCAGTGGACAGTCTGGTGATGTCTGCCACAGTAGGTCACAGAGTGGCATCGGGAGCATGCCTTGTTTCCAGGGCAACCACACACCCAGCATAGTTTGACTCCAGAGATGGATAAGACATTGTGGTCCTCTTCCAAGAGGTTTTGTGGTTCATCTTCAGTATGAAATAAAACAATCCACAGAACATCTCTACAGGCAGGGTGCTGTGTGATCATCTGCTTACTGTTACCTTCTGTGCTTTAAAGCTCAGTACAGCAAATTGAAATTACCTTATTAAAAACTCAAAGGATATTTTAAAGTGATTGTGCAAACCTGGAGGAGGGTCGTAGGAATAAAACTCATTCTTCCTGGGGAGCTGACTTCTGAAAACTGGAGAGTAAAAGGAAAAAGAAAACATTGAAACACTGGAGCATCGGAAGCAATGGCTTGAAAAAGTGGCTCAAATGACAAGTGAGAAAATAGAAGCACCATAGTATTAAGACAGGTACCTCTCATGCAGCGGCTGTCGTTTTGTGAGTAGCAATCAGGAGTTTTGCAGCAGAACAGGAAGAGCGTTCTGTGGAAACTTCTATCCTGGCCTGAAATTGGTGCATACACCTGCAGCATACAATAGTCTATATTACTTAGAAATATACTACAATGTTTTATTCTATAAACTTTTATTTACAGGTCCAGCTAAATTAATTGGATAATCAAAAAGTTAATTGTTGTGTAATTCAATAAAAAATTACTTTGAACTGCTGTGGAACAGTCTAATGGAAGTGGTTCTGGTATAGGATTGTGGCTGTCATAGCCCTGGATACAGCAGTTCATACCTTCTGCATCTTGCCTAAACAGTTGAATGGGCTTTGTTTATAATCCCTTCCAAAACCACATTTCCCAAACCATATAACTCCCTGGTAATTTTCTTATATAAAGTAATCTAATCTTTTTTTTTTTTTTCTTTTACCAATAACTGTTCATACACTGTCAACTAAAACAAACTTAAAATTTCTCACTGTAAATTAAACATTCTTAGCAGCTTCATTACTTATTATTTAACTTAATATTTTTGCTCTTTTAAAATACAAAGTAAAATGCTGTGGGTAAACAATTTATGGAAAGTATTAATAATATTAAATTAACAAAGCAAAAAAACAAAACGCATTGATATGGAAGTTCAGAGCATTAAATATCTATGGTGCAATGTATAGACATTAACCTCTCTCCTTAGATCTCTTCCAATATTAAAACTTTCTGACGAGGAGGATAATTAAGGTGTCTGTATAGTCTTTAGAAACCGACCTGCAGCAGGAAGACCATAGGCAGCCCACATTTCTCACACTCTAAGCCGGCCAGAGAGGGCAGGCCCCTCTGGCTGAGCCACGCCGGCTTCCCTCCGACTTTGCTGGGGAACTGTGATGCCCGAAGCCGCCACGGTTCGGAGTCTTCAAGGAAACCCAGAACCACCTCAGCAGATGACATTTCCCTTTTAAATCAGAATTTAGAATACAAGCTGACACAAAAGAGAAGATAACTAACTTCTTAAGAACTGCTACACCACGCTAGTACAACTACCAAAGTGATCCGTGGGGAAACAATAAGCAGCAGCTTTGTTCCGTAGTGAAATACTTGTTTTGTCCAGCAGATGGCGCAGTTTCATTTAGTGATTTGTGCGAAAATGTTCGAAGCTAAAATAATGCATTATGACCCTAATTGATTTGCTCTGAACACAATAAAACAATAAAAATAAATCAACCACACTTGCTAAAATATGCAGTTTTGGAGGGGGCAACTGCATTTAATTTAATGAAATACAATAAGTTAAGACACTGTATGATTAATTTACAAGGGAGGTACATTTTAGCCTCAAAACAAATCCAACTAATTTAGAAAAAATTGGACCAAAAAGGGCAAAATTTTCTTATTATTTTATCGATTATCCACTGTACATAATTTCTCAACCAGCACTTTCTAAGGAATCATTGTGTTGCTTTCTATAGCTAATTAGAGTCATAATAAAATGGCTTGGAAAGGTAAAAAATAAACTTTTTGCCCTGTTCTTATTGGGTCACGTTACATTTCAGTTATTATCCTTAATATCTCCGATATACTTCCTGTCTAAATTTGGGTTTTAAAAAACCCACATATTAAAACAGCGTTTAAATCTGCCATGATTTACAAATCCCTTCTGCTATTTATATTCTGTTTAATAAAATACTACAAGTTTATTTTTTAGAATATATATATATATATATATATATATATATATATATATATATATATATATATATATATATATATATATATATATATATATATATATATATATATATATATATATATATATATATATATATATATATATATATATATATATATATATATATATATATATATATATATATATATATATATAAAAAGAAAATAGATGTTTTGTGGCGCACAACTAATTTTAACTCAATAACTGTGGCCTGCATGGACACTCAATAAAGGGATTGCATATATTTATAGTTTAAGTCACATTTTAACCATGCTCAAGAACAAACTAAATAGGTTAAAAACTGGTTAAGGATTTCCTATATGTAGCCTACTAAATAATAGTTTAGTTAGAATTATGTTTGTTTGTATAAAAAGTAACCTATTTCTAGGTTGGGCTAGAATTAATAAATACTGTAATAATGAACTGATTATTTTCAGTGAAAGAAGAAAATATTGAATGTTTAAATTGTTACTTGCAATTGTAATAAATTATATTCGAAACCCAATGGCGTAATTATCGGTAAGCAGAGACTGCGGTTGCTTAGGGGCCCACGACCTCCTAGGGGCCCAAAAAATACTTCTCTAACCCACCTGATACTCAGGTCCTTGACTACACCTGATTTATACCCCAACACATGGCGGATTTCAACATGATGGTGAGCCGTTTTAAACACGACACCAGTGGTACTTTTAATTACTATGTTAATAACTGTGTATAGTTCTTTAGACGGGTGGTTAAAAAATACGCTAATATAATATGTTTCAAACCGCAATAAAGATCGTAAAAGAACGATGTATTTGAGTATTTTAGTTTATACACTACCACTTGGAACTATGGGTAAACCAGACCGTAGATTAAAACCATAACCATTATTTACGATGCACAATGAGGATGGATACCATAGATGGGGTGTTGTACTTCGTATGGGACCAAGATAATGTGGCAAATATTGTTGTGTCGTTACGCCATTGTCGTAACCTATTACTTTAATACATTTTCTATCCTTTTCCATTTGCTCCAGATTCATGTTGGCTCTTTTTGGACGCATTTCGTCAGTAGCCAACTTCAAGTTCTCACCAGAGTGAATGGCAGTACACACACCAACACAAACCCACACCCACGCAGACAGTGATGTCACGAAGGGGGGAGTTTTGGTTTGGGACGGATCAGTCCACCGGACGCTTGGACCGACACTAACTGTTACTAAAGGATAATTAAATCTCTGCTCTTTTATTCGGACTTTGGGGTTGTTAGCTCATCAAATTGCACAACTTCAGTGTTTCAGCTCTGCTGATAGAGAATTTCAGGCTGTTTTATAGTGTTTTAACCATGGAAAGTGAGTGGGAGCGCACAGCTTATTGTGGAGGAAAAGAATGGACCCTGTGAAAACTGACCCCACCAAGAAGGACTGACTTCCACCACCTCCATGTCCCCCTCCTCTCCGTGCCAGGTGTCTGCGAAGCGCGAGGAGGGCTACAAGCCGGCAGCGGTGCCCCCAGCTCCACCCGTCCCGCCTCGCAGGGTCCGGAGCCGGGACGGGGGCTCCGGAGGAAGGACGCGGAGGGCAGCAGCTCCGGAGAGGCGGGTGAAGTGTGTGCTGGTGGGGGACGGAGCTGTGGGGAAAACCAGTCTGGTGGTCAGCTACACCACCAATGGTTACCCCACCGAGTACGTTCCGACAGCGTTTGACAACTTCTCTGGTAAAGGATGGAGGAAAACACTTTACATCGAATTTAATCTACTGTAATCTAATCTAATCGATAGATTATCTCCAATTGAGCTTTATTAGAGTAATTCATCTGTCATGGTAAAATATTTACGCATGCATTATAACCTCATAAAATGTTGGTAAGGAATAGAGAGAAAAAGGTACACGTTATAGAAATGTTATCATCTAAATGCAAGGCTAATTAATTGTAGTATTTTTATATATGTGTATTTCTGCGTAGCGGTTGTATCAGTGGATGGACAGCCAGTGAAACTTCAACTCTGTGATACAGCTGGACAGGTCAGTGCAAACAGTATCTTACTATCTGATCTGTCTTTTATGTGAAAGGCCAACAAAAGTGTAATTTCTAGAATATTCCAGGAAAATTATATATGCTTTAAAAAAAAAATGTAAAGAAAATATGAAAAACCCCAAATGAGCAGAAACTTTGTTGATGCCAATTTTGCTTTCAGCAACATCTGTATCACTTTTTGGGCTTTGTACATGATGATGGATTTTTTTTTATTCCTTCCTACATAATAAATAGACTGCTTTAAAAACACCAGCACTTTTTTAAAGTTTGACCAAAGCTCCTGAAGTAGATTTCAATTTTGTACTTTGACTAGGCCATTTTAACATGTAATGTGCTTTAAACTAACCATATGGTTATATCTATGGCAGAATGTTTATGGTGATTATCCTGCTGGAATCTTAGATCTGATCCTTATATGTGGCTGCATCTACCTTTCAACTCTGACTAGCTAGGAAAACATATCTTCTCCTGAGCATTTAGTGGCACCACTGTGTTTCATGGTGGAGATGGTCTGTTTAAAGGAATATTCCTTGTTACATTTCTACCATATATGGCTTTTATAAGTAGGCCAACAAGTTCTTTTTTAGTTTTTCCTTCTACTCTGCCTTCATCCACACAGTATCTGCATCTTACCCATTGCTTGTGGAAAACTGCAAAATAGGTTTCTAATAAGTTACCTTAGAGGACAAAGTTTCTTTTGCCATTCTCTGACTGAAGTTAAATTATACTAAACACACACAAAAAGGATTCGAAATACTTTAGCAAGGCCTTGCTATTATTCTATGCTGAACTTGAATCGCTTGGTAGGTAGTTATTCCTTTGCCTTATCTTGTTTTCCTTTGTTAAGCCTTAAACCTTTCAGATTTTATGCTGCAAAGCAACAGGATATGCGCGACATATAAGGTCAGGGATAATGCAGCAAAAGTCCCTGTCTGGAGCTGAAATAGCAACACTGTGTAGTTGTGTATTTGAATGGTTTCCCCCCTTCCAGTTACAAGCCTCAGGGGAAGTTTTTATTCAGTGATAAATGAGCTTTAGTCTAGCTTTACTGGTGTGGAGCTCCTAAAGCAAAGAGAAAAAGTGATTTAAAAGGTACGCAAAATTATAAAATCTTATAAATGAATGTATATCCTGTCTGGGAAACTTTGCGTGTGATGGGACTTTGCCTAAAAAAAAAAAAACAATCCCCTGTAGACAGGAAGTGATGTAATTTTCTCCACAGCTGCAGCAGATGATTGTCTTTAAAAGATAGTAAAAGATCCATATCGTGGAGGACAAGCTGCTTCTGGTTAGATGTTATGAAACCACAGTTCTTGGCTGAAAGACAGTGAGATATGCCAGGCATGCCGAGCATCACATTTCTGATAAGAGAAACAGATACTTTATAGACACATGGGGGGATTGGATGACAATTAAGCTACAAGATGGATGCTCAGAAAAAAATAAGAATCATGAGAAAATATCTCCTCAGCTTGGAAGAATGGATTATAGACAACTTTTCCTGATTTCAGAGAGACAGTGAAGAGAAAACGTCATACTTAATCATATATCAATAACAATCATCATGATGTGCCTATAGATAGATATTTATTTATTTCTATAACACTTTAGGGGCAAATATTCACAACCATTTTATTCTGTTTATGGTTTGTCAGATTATTTGATGGGCCACAAACATTTAGTGGATAATTGTGAGGTGTAAGAAAATAATAAATGATTAATACTTCTGCAAATAAAAATTAGAAAAATGTGGCACACAAAAGCAAACATGGAATGAATTGCCATTGATGAGATTAAAATGAAGAATTTTTAGCCTACTTATGAGAATCACTGAGTGGAGGAAAACTACCTTAAAGCTGAAGTCTGTAAGTTTTTTTTAAAATCACTTTTTTGTCATATTGGCTAAAACTATCCCTATGTCCAGACAGCAGTACATGGGATATGTAACCTGTGAAAAAAACTGCTTCAATTGGTCCCGCCTACTGCCTGTATTGCAATCAGGAAAGAATATTTCGGGACGAGACAAAACAACCAATCACAGCCAGAGGAGCGTCTGATGGAGTGTCAATCACAGCTCACACATGCTGAATCCCGCCCCCTCCCTCTCACCGCTGAACCTGCCGCTGCCGGCCGGCTGCCGCAGTCAGGAAGACGCGCGTGGAAGTCATGGCGGAGCGACAGCCACCAGCGAAAGAGAAACTGCCCTTACTGCCCCTGCCGACAACTCTTACCGGTTATCGCTCTTACCGGTTCACACTCCATACCGCGTACGCTGCTTGGACGCTTCTGGTCGCATGCGGTAGCCGCGCAGATGCTGTGAGAGGGGTGGAACTTGGAGGTGGGGCATGAGTGAAGCAGAGAGGGTGGGGGAGTGGCGTGAAACCTGTTTTTCTTCAAATTTTCAGTCGAAGTCTGCTCTCTTCTCAATGTAACAGACTGCAGCTTTAAGATACCATCCCATTTGGGAGATGGACAATCCTAGTGCTTCAAATGTCTTTAGAGTGGGGTGTGTGGGTGGGGGGTTGGCGTCAAGGCAAGATCAAACTTCAAACTGTTGGATCTACATTTAATCTGAAGAAACTTAAGCTGTTTTTCCAAAAAAAAAAAAAAAATGGGTATCAAACAAATCTACAAATGTTCAAAGCTGTTAGATGGTAAGGGCTGTAATTGTAGCACCGCTAACTTTACAAAGTGTTCAGAGCTTTATTTCCATTTCCCAGTCATGCACTCATTTTTGAAATTTACTATTTTAAAATGTAAAAATGGGCTTATGTTGATATTGGTGCCAATGCCTGAGTTGTGCTATGTATTTATTTGTTTTTACTCTCCCCTCATCTCTCCGTCAGGATGAGTTCGACAGGCTTCGCCCGCTGTGTTACACCAGTGCAGACGTGTTCATGCTGTGCTTCAGTGTCGTCAGTCCCGCCTCCTTCCAGAATGTTCCTGAAAAATGGGTCCCAGAGATCCGTAAACACGCCCCATTCGTTCCCCTTGTCCTTGTGGGGACACAGTGTGACCTCCGGGAAGATGTCAAGGTGCTGAGTTTTACTCTTGAGCAGAGCAAAAATTCTCCTAATGCTAAAATATTCATATTATTAGAAACTAGATTCATATATTTTAGGATAAATGAATCTCATAGTTGCTGCTGAAACGATCTTCCTCTGTTATTTGGACTGTTTATTATCCTTAGAATAAACCTCTTGAGTCTTTCTTTTTTCGTGAAGATAACGGTAAAACTCTTTTAATATAACTCTACTTCTAAGGAGAAGTTGATAGGAGCAACAAATGCTATCCAGCAGCACAATGACCTTATTGGTAGGGCTAAGGATGCTACCAAACAGTAAATAATTTCTAACTGATGTGAAATATCCACGTCTGGTGATAAACTGATGGTTCCTCAGAGCAGGGGACAGTTCCTCGATGATTTACCTTTGAATTTTCCTGCTAAGGGCCTCTCCATGAGTTTGATTTGAAGTGAAAGGACGGAATTTCAAGCTGCGCTTCCTGCCATCTGTTAGCCTCTTGTCAGCTGCTCCCTCTAAACCGACAGTACTGGTTATTGTACATCTGTGTTTCTCATGATGTTGGACATGTCATGATGTTGAGCTCTGTGGAAAACACAGGTTAGAGTCAGCAGTTAAATCTGCTGGTGACACTTCAAGGATGTGAGTCAGTTTTAAAGTGCATTTCCTTTCCCTCCCTAATCTCTTAGAAACTGTATTTCTGTGTTGTTATGTTACCTCACTGTTAACTAAAAACTGGCAGGTTTATGATGTTTAATAAGGATTTTTTTCAATGACATTATGTATTATTTCATTGTGATTTTAGGTTATGAAACAACTTAATAAAAGCAAAAGAAAAACAAAAAAACAAAATAGGAATCTAAAAATTGTGCTGTACATTTATACTATTGAGTTTGTTGAAAAACTAGCTTTGCTGCAAAATTACCTCAGAAAACCTTTACGGGATTATCTTCACCACCTGTTGCTCAGGTTCCTAGCCACTGATTTCAGTAGCAGGTAAAGAATGTTCAGTCAGATTAGAAGGTGAGTTTCTACAAAAATCTGTTTTTAGTTCTTGCCACAGGTTCTATACTGCAAAAAAGCAATATCTAAATAAGTCATTTTTTTTTCTAAAAATGTGTGCATTTTTTTATTGAGCAGGTTAGTGAGACAGTTTGCCAACGGAACAAGACGATTTACATTTAAAATACGAAAAAACTATTTCTTAGAGAACAATTGTATTATTTCAAGTGCATATTATCTAATTATCTTATTTTAAGAGTAAAAATACTAATTTGATTGGCAAATCATCTTATTTACCTGCTCAAATTAAGGGTCAATACACTTAATTTAAGAATTTTTACTTATTTCTTTATCATTTTTGGTGTGTAAGGTGTGGACCTATAATTCATATAACACATGAATATACTTTAGGCTAGGTGAGAGGTTATTCAGTCTTATCTATCACCTTCAGTTTGGGGATGTGTCCTTTTGGTTTTCTTCCACGCTGGACTTGAATTCAGTCCTTAAGTTCGAATTTGGTGACCAGAGAACCTTCGTCAACATGTCCACTGTCTCTCCTACATATTATGTGATAAATGATTGTGGTTTTAATTCTAAAAAAGTTAAAATACAAACCACTGGACCTTTTGTTTTCCAAGTTTGCAGACGTTTCGCTTCCCATCCAGAAAGTTTTCTCAATTCAAAATGTCTGGAGTGGCGTTTGAGTTCCAGGCTTATAGAGTTGCCCAAACTAAAGCCTTGTTTTGGCTTAGAAAACATGCTAACTGAACCGAAACAGTTTCACCCCTTAGTAATGGAGATTTGTTGTGGTCTTTGCTGGCCTGCAAAACCTGATACTGACCCATGCCTTTGAAAAGGCGTCGTTAAGGTCATTGTTGGCCTGGCTGACCAGGCGAGATGTTTTGGTCCCCTGTATGGCGATGAGGTTTGAGATGTAAGCAGGAAGAAATCAACTCACTGTGTTGTAGGTTTTTGAGAGCTGGAACCTGAGACCACCCCCTCTGTTAAAATTTGTTTTCACACCCCTTTCAAACCACCTGTCTTCTTTGTCCAAACTGTGAACATTCTGGTCCTCAAACGCGTGTCATTTGTCCTTAAGGTGTAGGTGGACAGCAACAAACTTGGAAAACAAAGTCCAGTGGTTTGTTTTTTAACTTTTTTTGGAATGGCTATGACCTGGATGACCAAGAAACTTCAACGGCATTGCGGTTCTGATGTAAATAAATATAGGAAAGCTCAGGGAGTGTGGATACTTTTTTGAGGCACTGTGTAACACTCGACTCTGACTCCCTCCAGGTGCTCATCGACTTGGCTAAGTACAGAGAGAGACCCGTTGACCCCACAGATGCCCGGGAATGTGCCATGGAGATTGGTGCTGTGGCCTACATGGAGTGCTCCTCTCTGACCCAAAAGAATTTAAAGGAGGTTTTCGATACAGCCATCCTTGCCAGCCTGCAGAAATACAGCTCCCGGAAACACTCGAGAAGCAAACAGAAGCATCGAAAAAAGCCAAGGCAGACCCCAGACAAGATGAAGAGGCTTTCAAAGTCATGGTGGAAAAGGTACTGCTGCGTGGCCTAGAGCAGGCCTGGGATGCTCCTAGACAGGATTCATCTGGTTTCAGCGATTCCAAAGACACTTTTTTTTATACATAAAGTAACTATACACAACCATGCTGGGAACATGGATTGAAACAGAGTAAGACTTTTGCAAATGTGAAATGTTTTTATCCATATTGCAAATCTGATTTACTACTGAGTTTCTAGCATGAATTCAATGCAAGGTTCTTCTTTGTTTATTTACTTAAAGCAATGGTTCTGTCCTGTTCTGGGACCATAAAAGACAGAGTTTTGATAGTTTTGATAGCTTCTTTTTTTTTGTTTGGTTCCCAGCATGTTTGATATATTTATCCTGCCTTTTTTATGTATTCCAGAGGAGAAATGTGTTGGACATAAATATAAATATATCTGATGATCTAAACTTAACAACACTGTCAGTTGACTAAACTAATCCTCTAAACTCTTCCCCTGTGGAATTGTTTAAAAGTAGGTATGGAAAGTGCTGTCCAAAACCAGAACTTTGTAAATTAGGATTTTGTGATGCCGACATGGTCTCCAGTTCGACCTAAGATTTAGGATACTCTGATGAAAGGATTCACTCACTTGTAGATTTTATATATTTAGTTCCATGTTTTCCAGTCAATGAATCAGACCTTGATTAACTTTATTTTTTGGTCTTAAGCGGAACAATTCACACTTAGTTTAGATTTGAAGGTTTTTGTGGAAGCTCAGAGATATATAATTGTGTTCTGAACTCATGCAAATGTTTTGTCTCATAAGATAACACTAAATGTGCCTGCTTTGATCAAAACTAAGATTTCCAAACAACACGCATTCTTTATGTCATGAGGAAATAAAAAATAGCAGAAAGCAAAGCCATTTATCCTCCTTTTCTCTGAAACACAGCAGAAGCAATAGTTAAAATGGAGCAGTGCTCGTTTTGGTTGTAGTGGTAAATCTTATGGTGGATATGAAAAGGGCTTGGCTGGAGTGGCGATTTATAATTGTATGCTTAGGAGGCTAAACCTTCCCTGTAAATACGGTAAAATTATTGGTAAAATACCCATGGTCAAACTTCATAAATGAAGCCATTAGCTGCATTAAATACATGCTAAAATGAGCCTGATTTCATGAGTATGTTGCACATTAATCAGCAGTTTATTCCACTCTCTGAGACTATCTCCCCTCTGCTCTGGAGAGCAGGACGCTGCCTGTGAGCCTCTACAGTATGAGAAATGAAGTTTCAGCCTTGATCTATTCAGGTAAGCAGCAAGAAAGTAGAGCCAAAATATGTCACTACCACTGAGGCTAAATGTCTTAGGGGGTCTATGGAGCATCATTTTTAAATGCTCAAAAATCAAGATTTTGCATGATATAGGCCTTTTAATACATACCAGCATAGGATTTAAATCATTTACCTGCCGTTTAACAAATATGCCACTAATTGTGTTGGTCTAACACAAAAAAATCCACCTGAAACACACTAAAGTTAGTCCTTGTCAACAAATGATAATGCAAACCAATTTTCCTAAACAGCACATGATATCCACCATGGCAAAAACCCTATAAGACATTTAATTATCTTTACATGAATGAATCTCTTTTTAAAACCTCTAAAACAGAGAAGATAATGGAGTGACTGGGGCCATTGCTTGGGTGCAATACTAAGGCATGAACAGTTTCAAAATCATAAGAAATATGGATCATTTTACTATTAGGCGTGGTAGTTTTAAGAACATCAAGCACAAAAGAAAAGAGTCTTACAATATTATTGCATCCTTAACAAAAAAAAAAGACAGACCAACCAGTAATAGTCTTAATTCCCCTCACTATTTTTTGCTGGGAGCTGTAATCTACCATAATACAGCTTGAGAACCAAGCTGAGATATCAACCTTCCCACAAATGTTTGAGGATGCTAATCCCATCAACGAAAAAAACAAACAAAAAATGAACCACACTGTCTCTTAATCAAAAACGTTCACTTGCCTAATGGAAGTCTTGGATTCTTTCAGATGAAGTTGTTTCTGATGCAACTCAAAGGGTTCACTGTGTCGATGTTTCACTGCTGGTACAAAATGCTTTGTATGTTGGACTGGTAAAAGGCATAATAGGTTATTTGTCTTGTGGAGTTAAGTGGGCTAGAGGTCACACACTCTTATGATAGCTGGAATTTCCTGAGCCAAGTTTACAGCATTTAGTTTTGTATTTCATTAATTTCTGTTTTAATAAGTGTTTCTGGTTTGCCTTTCTGTGTCGATTAGAAGAAACCACTTGCTTTTTAAAAAGACTTGAAGACAAACGTTTAACAGACATGATTTATTTGTTGAAAGATTCTGCTGAAAGCAGCAACTCTGATTCCAATGAATATTTAAAGAATGCAATGTGCTACAAGGCTGGCACATCATTTGACTCCCACCTTTGCATTTTCATAGGTTAAATCGTTTTACTGCTCAGGTGGTTGATGCACTGTGGGGTCAGAGCTGAGTCGTAGATTTGTGACGTAAAGCATATGGTAATCTGAATGTGAAGATGGAAAACAGATGTGATAAATGTTGGGAATTGTAAAGTTATTCTCAATTGTTCTTCTTGAAGTTTGTAAAACTGTGAGATTTAAAACTCATTGTTCTGAGACTTTAAGACATTGTTTGTTATGACGGGTATCCACTGCTGGTGCTGCTGGATATGCGATATGGATATTCCAAGCATTTTAGAAAGCTCTATGAGTTTAAGTAAAAACAGATTGATCGAGTTGCAGGTGCTTCTGCAATCCGATCACACATAACAGCTTCTTAACCGGGATCCCTTAGTAAGAGGAGAATGAGTTTGTATAGATCTGTATTCTGAAAAATAAAGAATATTTGTCATAAAGATAGGCTGTGTCATTTTGGAACCAAAAGTCTGCTTCAAGAGTTACATTTGCTCAGCACCAACGGCAGTGAAAGTCATATTTATGTCTTTATTATGATAACAAGAGCAGCAACAATGATAAAAATAATAATTAAATTGAAAACAACAAATACTTTAAAATAATAAAAACACTATTTTAAAAGTGGTTTAACATTAATTGGCAAATGTTAGAATAAATAGGTTATATTTATAGCCATGATTCAAAGGATCCAACATCTCATTATACTGCCCCAGTCTGGAACAAATGCTCTAAAACCTTTGCGCTGCTTCACTTTGTTCTTTTCTGGTTCTTTTCACTGAGTCAACAAGTCCCTGAAAATTTTGTTTACAGACTGGAAAACAATGCAGTGATGAAATAAGTGCTTTTGGATGATCCTACTCTTGGTTTTGGTCGGGACTTGCAGCGACATTTTGATTGAGCTGCACTTCTCTGATTTTTTTAGAGACCATCACAAAAATTCCACTTCCTGAAAATCACGCACGTATTGTTTTTGCCATGCATGCGTGTTTCATATAGAATAAATAACTTTTTGAATGGTAAACCATTCTAAGAAATAATTAAATGCCTTCTAGCAAGTAATTTTTTACTGGTAAACATTATGTGCATGCCTAATGTCATTACCCTGCTAGGTTTCTGAAAGTTCCTTGGGTTTAATTGATTGATTGATTTACTTTATTGATCTCACAGTAGAGAAATTAACTTGTTACATCATCTCAAATAGTCAAACGAGAAGAATGTGCCAAAGGAAGAAAAAGTTGCATGGGATATATACAGTATATACATTTCGTCCACATATGAAAGCTTTTTTGTTTGTTTGTTTTTTTTCATTGGAAAGCTTAGCTTAGCGGAATGCAGACTTCTACTTTTTCTGACCAAAATTTGTTTTTTTTTTGTAAAATTATTGAAAATATTTTGACATGCACTTAAAGTTGCATTTATGCTGTACATATCTGTGTGGCTATTGTTATTTTTAGTTTGTTTACGCTGTTGCATCCCATAATGCAATGCAAAATTTGCTATGGGAAAGATTTTGGTCCAAGTTGTCAGCATTTGCACCCACCCACCCAATATCAATGACAGCATGAGTCATTGGTGGTGGTGTTGTTAAAACGTGTCTTTTGACCTTTCTTTTTTACCCCCACGATTTAATCATTTTTCAAACAGATAACAAGAACATGGGCCTAGATAGGTTTTGTAAAGAAAACTTATATTTTGATTGTTCATTTTCATTTAGATCTCAACCATGACTTTTTGTGTAGTTTTGCACCGCAGTGTTTGCTTTTAGAAGTCAAACGACCATAGGGCTTTCAGCTGCACATCAGTAGAGATTTAAACCGTGCTTGAGTACACAAAGAGATAAAAACAAGTGCACACACCAAACACACGCAAAAAGTCACCCAACTTCAGCCTGGATTACTCTGAAGAGCCTCACCATTCCAGGCAGCCCTAGTTACGCAAGAGCTTTATTTTGAAGGCTGTCATGTGCTGTTTGGTGAGAGGCCTGTCTTTTCTCTTTGACACAGCATGTATGTGAGCCAACTCTTTATCTGACAGCACAGTGAATCATGAGAAGGCCGACTTTGTTATGGTTATATCAGCTGTTCTTTGACTCCAGATGCTTATGCTTCTGTTGTGTGCTGGTATGTATCCCTGGTACCAATTAGAGACGAAAAGACAATTTATTCTCAAAAGATTTTCTCATCATTTCAACTTGCAGTTTCAAATTTCAGATATCTTTTAAAATCAACAATGTATAACATATAAAGATGTCAGAAAATATCACCAGCAACATGAATAATAAGAAAGAGGACGTAATTAAGTTAAAAAATATTTTCACTGGAATTTCCTTTAACTATGCTGCTATGTAAATATTTTTCTCTATTTATTTTTATTAATGATTGTACTTTTTAATTTCACAATTCTTAACTGCCATCAAAACTATAATTAATACAATATTTAGTATAAAATCTAAATGTTATTTAGCTATATGTTTGGCGGAGTTTATGTATGGAGTTTGGTGATGATATGTTTAAAGACTATCAATGGTTCTTATTTACTCTGTTTACTTTCCTACCCTCACCTATGGTCATGAAATCTGGCCAATGACCGAAGGAATGAGAATTGTTTAAGTGCTGTCTTATAAGAGTTTGTAAAAATAAGGCCTTAAAGAAATTTATCCAGAAAATAAAAAAAATATATTGTTTTGATATACATACAAATATATGTTCAAATTGTACAAAGGTTACAGATTAAAGCTGCAAACTTTCTTGTCACACATTGAGAGTGTGTTCATGCTAATTGTATAACTCTGCTGTGTGTGTGTGTGTGTCTTTGTGTTTGTATTACATAATATAAAAAGGAGTTAGGGTGACATCAGTGCTCTCTCTTTACAAATAAAGCTGAAATGCAATCTACCGTTTTCTAACAAGCTGTAAATCCAATCGATGTTTGTTTGCAGGCAGCTGCTTTGTAATGTGTGTGTCAAGTTAAAAGAAAGTAATGAAAGGAGGTCAGAGAAGAGACATCAATGGATGGGGAAGAAAACAAAGACATGCATTCAATAAAAAAAAGAAACTACCAAAACAACAAACCTTGAGTTACCAAGAAACCAATCACAATCATTGAACAACTTCTTTGCTATTTAGTGGAAGCAGCAAGAGCAACGTTTGTAATTCTGAGGTCCGATTCTTTAGTTTTATTAAAAAAACAAATCGTTCCTCTACTCATCAGGTAGTGTACCGCTGTTAAAACCTGATATTTTTATATTACAAAGCATTTTTTCACTCTCTGCAGACATCAAATAAACTTTCTTTCTGCTTAAAGCTTAAGTTTGTAGTTGCTGCTTGCCGCTGCTCCTCTTATTTCTCAGAACCCTTGTTCTGCCGCAGTAACCAACTACGAAGAACCGCTTCACTGGATCTCACTCCTTCTAGGCTCATACTGAACTTTGCAAAGTTGGTGACTTTCATCCTCATTGTCATTTCCCTCTTGAGTTCTTAAGTCACTGACCTGAGTCTCTGTTTCTGCAGAGATTCCAGTGAGTCCTCCTCAGCTGACGCGCAGGCGCATGTTTCTTTGAATAAACGCTTGTTTCAAAAACTGATCTGTTTGCTTGGATTCTGGATCCTACGTTCTGAGCCTTCTGACATCAGCAATGTTTTTATCCCCTACCTTGTCAACTGATGATGAGGTTTGTTTACATTATAGATGCACAGATCAGTATTTTGGGAGCTAATCCCCAATTACCGATCATCAAAATCAGTAAATACAAAATCACTGATCACAGCATCAAATCCATAAATTCTTGGATATTGTTGTCTGATATACAGTGACATTACATTATTAAGTATAAAGAGTATGAGACGAGAAAGTATGATGAACTTACCACTGTTTTAGTGAAGGAGGCAGCAGAGACAAGCTTTTTTAAATCTAAATGGAAGATAGAAAATAATGTTGACAAGGAATGAAGCAGGCAATGCTCTAAAGAGGTTTGTGGGTGGCTTTTACATATCACTCATTTGATTGTGCCCTAGAAGGACTGTTTCATCATCCTACCTCCAGGACAGACTGTGATCCTCTACTCTCCTCCTGAGCCATTGCTTTGGTTCCTTAGCTCTATTTGGGGGATTGCTGGTTGCCTCATCCCCGTTATGAAGCTCTCTCAGCTGCTGTTCTCACACTGATTTCCTGCTGCTCCTGCCTGAGCTCCAGAGCATTGCTCACCTTACCTTTGTTGTCAGGGTGAGCACTTTGACACTATAAATCACAAGTAATGGAATTGAAATAATACATTTTATCACAACAAGAGATAGACTGGTTCAGATATTATCTTGGTTCTAGACTTGACAAGTGGCTTGTTTTTCTTACAGGAAAGGGGGTATGACAGAGGGGGAGAGACATGCGGTAAAGGACCACAGGTTGAATTTGAACCCAGGTGGGCCGCGTCAAGGACTAAGATCTCCGTACATGGGTCGTGCGCCCTAACCACTTTGCCACCTGCATGCCCTTATACCTATAATTTTTAAATACATATTAAATCTTAAACGCATCTCAGAGTCCTGGTCATCTTCTCCCTGGAGGCGTTTAACTCTGATTTATTAATATTTCTGGAATTCCCTTAACTAATTTACACTGCTGATAAAGTTACTTTCTCTGTGCTCATACCTTAGCTTGCAGCTGCAGATGGAGAACTGTTTAATCAGCAAATTTAAAAAGAAACATATGCAAATGACTGGAGGAACATTAACTCTGGGTAGCTAATTCTAATATATGCAATTAACAGCCTCATGCTGAGTTAATTTAAATTCTTTTTATCTTGTACTTTCACTTTAATTGGTTTGAATTGAATACGCTTTATAAGTTAAGGAAGTTAGAGCAATTAGCAGCCACATCGGGTTTCAGCTTTTGTGATGCATTGAATGTCATGTTATTTTGAGAGTCCTGAGAATTTCTGTGAATCAGCTTTGGGGACAGCTGTTCTTTGTTTCTTAATTTAGAGCTTCAGGCCTCGTAATGAATCGGCTCTGACTGATTAAAAAGGGATTATTATTAGCCGAAAATCAGAATTTACTTAGCTTGTTTTTATCCAATAAATGCATAGAGTATCGCGTTGTGTCCCTGACAGATATGTATGTGGATGTCCCCAGCTGTAAACATGGCAGTCAGCTGTTGTATAGTCCAAAAGAGCACGAGCAGAACATGGAGCCATGCTGATTTGCTCTGCATGTGTCACAAGTTGTTACTGCCAAAACATCTCCCTACGTGAACTCTGATCACTCACCCTAAAGCAAACACATCATATATCTTTTTTTCCGAGTTGTTCCAATAAACAATCAAAAGCAAAACTAGAGGAAAGGAAAAGCGAGGACTGGGTTTTATGAGGAAATAGAGAAAAAAGTAAGTAGATAAGAAAGGACACAGAGTATAAAGTGTGAACGAAGCAGGAGCTGGCTGAAACAAGATAAGGCACACTCAGGCAGCAGTTTCACTCATTGAGTCAAGATTCCTTAGGTGTCGAGTAGCCTGAATCTGTTCTTTATAAAGATAAGAGTTAAGGTTGTAGATATATAGAGCAGTGTTCACTTTCAAAAGTACAAGAAAAACTGGGTTGAAAAGACAAACTAAAACAAAAAAAACTAACCCTAACAACGTGAAGGCAGACAAAGCTCTAGAGAAAAAAATGAAAGGAAACAATTACAGGATTTACAGACATATTAATTATAGTAACATACCAGAAGTATAAACTCATACTAGATGAAATATTGGTAAAAAATAATAAAACAAGAACAATTTGGAAGATAAATTAGAAAGATACTCTTCATCAGCATCAATCAAGAATGTATGTAAAGGACATTTAATTCATTAAGGTCAGTATGAATTTAGACCAATACAATGAAATGATCCGAACACTTGTGCTAATTCAGCCTGTTTGATCAACCAATAATTGTTTAACAACATTCAGACTTTTTTCCTTATAAAATCCCTTATAAATTGCAAATCCAATCAGATTTATCTACATAGTATAAATCCATAAAATAACACCATAAGGTCTTTATAGAGTCTATTCAATCAAATCATACAGACAGATTGGCTGAATAGTTTCTGTGCGGTAAACCCAGCAGATTGCATTGAGTCATTGACTCGCCGAATAGGTTATTGGATTACCGTGTTGTAACTCTTGACAAATACTTGCATCGTGTCTTTGCAGCAATCCCTCATACTGAGCATGCATGTAATGACAGTGGAGATGAAAACTACTCTTTAATGGTAAAAAAAACCCCCAGGAAAAAACAGGCTCAGTGTGAACAGCCTTCTGTCACCATATATTGGGGCTTTGCACCAACACAGCAGACACACAAAAGGAACACAGATCCAGCAGTACTTTCTAGAGCCTCTTTCCCAAGGAAAATAGCAGGTTAAAGCATGTTTATCAAATACGGGTCAACCTGCTAAGATCATCATTTGGCTCCCTTCCCATTTGAAAAAAAACTGGGTCTAACTCCTCTCTGGCCAGCTGCGTGGCCTCTGCACCCCCCAGCTGCGTGTCTGGTGACACCATCACGTGGGGTTAGGGTTGATGATGTCACCAGTGCAACATAAATCAGGAAAGTAAACAATGGAGAGAAACATGTAAGGAAACCAGGGTGTGCTTTATTGTTTTGCTCTTTTGTCCCTCCAAATCCTTCTTACCAGTGCTGCTCCATGTTTCTCGAATGTAAACAGAGTTGTGTCGGTTTGTTAGATCAGACGCAACTGGTGCGTCTGATCTAACGTTGTCACTTGCCAAGTCGTTTGACCTGAGTAGATATGCGTCAGTGAGCTGTTCCCACTGATTATTACTGGGTTTAAAAATGTTTTTCAGGCCATTTGGCCAGGGGGTAAAATTTAAAGAAATATACAGGTTTAATTAAAGTAGAGGCTCCAGTAGTGGCATAATCTAGGAGTTAAAATAGTGCTGGGTAGTTAAGTTCTTAGCCAGTATTCAAGTCTAGATGATAAAATAAAGCACATAAGGTAATTTACAGTAAGAGCTCAGCTAATAGCTTTGTCTAATAAAGAGGCAGTTAACCAGTGAAAGACAAGGCCAAGCATATCATCAACAATACTGGCACCAATAGTAAGGCTTCACATGAAAACATAAAAAAAACAGGACTAACAGTTAAAGACGAATAAAATAAACCAAGAGTTTGAAATAAAAGCAATACCTAAAACACAGACAGCTGGGTTAGGGACTGTTTTCTTCAGTCCCTTTAAAAAAAGAAAATATTTCATAAAGCTGATCCAAACTTGTTAAAAAAAAAGGCAAAATATAACAAAATATTAAAACAACAACAGAAAACAAAATAATAAAAAACAAAGTTATTTCATAATGTTTTGGAAACAGTTTCATGTTGTATTGACTTCAATGTTTTAGATATTAAGTAGAAATGTGACAAACATTTTAATAGGACAATATCTCAAACTTGTATCTTTATTCTTTTTTTCTTGTATCTCATAAAAAATCTCCATGCTCCGGAACTGATGGATTTCTTATATGGTTTTAGCCTCTATTTAATTCTGAAATCTTATTCTTCTGTTGTTTGTTGGAGAGCACTGAAAAACAACCAACATCGTGTTTACTGAGGAATACAGGAGACAGGGCAAAGATAAAGCTGAGTTTAAAATGAAGTTTGACTATAAATCAACATCCTAGGCATTAAACATCTCATGGAGCAGGATTTAACATGTCTGATAGCAACAGATGGACATCTGTTTTGGTCCATTTTGCAAACAGACACCCTTCTGTGTGAACCGACAGGCTGGGTAACAAGATGATGAATCAGAGGGGAGCTAAGAGGACAACAGTAACTCTGGAGGAGCTCCAGAGATCCACAGCTAAAGTGGAAGAATCTGTCAACTGAACAACAATTAATGGCGTACGCCGCAGAGCTCTCCTTCCTGAAAGAGTGGCAAGAAGAAAGGCACTGTTGAAAGAAAGAATAAAGAGTCTTGTTTGCTGTATATTACAACTGATTTAGGAGACACAGGAAACACATGGCAGATGCTGTTCTGCTCATATAAAAGTATCTTTATGCTATGTGAGGCAGAAAAAAAATCACATCAGCCAGAGGACACTATTCTTGGAAAAATGATGCTTTTTCTCCACGGGTTTAATGTAGCTAATCCAAATTGACAAGAAGAAGGAATGAGGTATAATCCTGCTAATTCAAATGACTTGATACTTGTCCTGCTTTTCAGATGGATGTGAGAGATTGGGAAAGATGGCCTCAAGAAGGGTCTCACTGAAGGTATTTCAATCCAAGGACAAAAGGCTTGCATATTTCAGGGAACATTTTAGGCGGCAAGGAAAACTCTAGCAATATACAGTAAAGGCAGTGGTTTTAATCTGAATAAATATGGAAATAAGTTTTTGTGGTGTCAATACTTTTAAAAAGTACTGTACCAGGATAAAACTAGTAGCAAAATGACATAAGCTCACATAGAAAAACCTGGGATCAAATTTAATCAAACACTTTTCAAGAGTTTTGTGATATTAAGATTTACAAAAAGGCCTTTTATATACAAATATCTATTAGTTTGACATAAACACAATGAATCAGACTTCTGGGAAACAGGGATCAGTAACTGATCTTTAGAGGTGGGTGAAAACAGCCTCCCTCTTTGGCCTCCCCAACCAGATGTAACCAGCTGGTACATACAAACACACAGTGACCATCAGGCTTTTGGCCAGAACTGTTGGCCTTTTATTTCAGCTGGGTGAGCCGACACATAATGGATCCAGAAGGAGGCCCAGTTTAAGCTCTCCATAGTCCCTGCTTCAAAAAAACTTTATGGGCAGTGAATCTTCTCTGTTGATGTCTCAAGCTTGTCTGGACTGCTAAAATGTCTTTGGACAGCTAAAATGTCTTTATCTTCAAAGTAAAACCTCAGAAAAGAAAACTTTCTCAGTGATAATGCAATCTGAGTTTTCCTAACAGCATTTTCAAATCTGTTTGTTTAACCCAGAGCACACAGCAAGGGAGAGAAAAGGAGTGATGTTGAAACTTGGAATGAGGAGCGTTGGGCTCACCTCTGAAAACATGTGGAGTCTAGAGTGTTTCTGCACTTTATGGAGAGTCTTCTGTTTCTAAAAGACACACCTATTAGGGTCACAGTCTAATGGAATAGCATAGGTTGTTTTAATTTCCCTTTATTGAACTTTCTTTTCAAAAGTTTAGATTTATGACTTGAACCGTTTCCAAGATATTCTGATATAAAAGGACCAAAAGCTTAAAAAACTGATGTGGAACTCAAAGAGAGCTAAAGAGTGGGTAAGGATGACTTAATTGAAATGCCTTAAAAACCAGAGGAACCGAAGGAGTACACTTGAATATTGAAATGATTATGTAAGAGCTAAGATATTTGTTTTTACTGGAAAACCTTAGTCTTTACAGCAACATTGATCAGTTTCTCATATTTAAAATCAGGCTAAAGTCATTTTTGGTTACACAAAACTGCTTGAGAGAAGGTTCAAAGGCACCAATGTTCAAGGAAAAAGAGCCCCAGGAACACAACAAAATGTTTTAATCTATTTTTTAATCTATATTTTAATCTAAGTATTTCTTTTTTAAATTGTCTTTAAAAATAAG